TTAGGAGTCAGACGTTGACAGAGAAAAGATTTGGAGGAAAAGAAATGGTATTGCTAAGTCTACGGTCTATCGGGGTATGTCTATAATAATGACAAGGGGAAAACACCAGCCAAAAGAAAACACAGTCCGAGAAAAGCCACTTGGTTAGAAAAATACAGAGAAAAATGAGACTGTGTAAAACAACAACCATCAACAAGAAGCATCAAACAGTACCTGGTGAACTTGTCGTGAGAAAAAAGGGAAAGGGAACTGGGATCCTAGCCTTGTAGCGAGCCCATGAGAAGTCAGGTAGAAACGACATGGCGACAAAAGAAAACAACTTGGAGGTCTGGTTCCGTCCAAGTGAAAAAGAAGGTAGCAAATGTTCTCGTCAACTCTGCGTGAGCTCTAGGATGTGCTGTTTGACCACCCCTCTATACCGCCGCCGCCATTCATCCATCCATCCCATTCGTCCCCTGTGTCGTGTTTTTTTTTTGTCTTTTCTGTTTTTCTTTTCTTTTGGCCCTCCCCAATGAGGGTGTCCTTTTCCTGTCGTCATGTCATTGCTTTCGCTACATGAGACAATGGTCCAGTCTGGACTTCTGGACCTGGGACCCATGATCCCCTCTCCTGAAGTCGGGAGCCGGAAGTGGTTGAGGCGCCTTGCCGGCACATTGCCGAGACTGACCAAACAGCAAGAGGAGAAGAAGATTCTTGACATGGCGCCCTGCCCGGCAGGTCGGGTTCCAACATTCCTCGACTTCTTCCCCATTCAAGACCCGTTGTGTCAAAGGAGCCCCTTAGGGAGACTGAGCTGGACGGCTAATCCTGAGGGTAGACGTAGTATTGGGAGCAGCAGCTGTTCTGATAATAATGGGAGCAGTTCCAACAGACACCGCCGGCGCTGGCTCGGTTGTCATTGTAGCAGACGCAGCACGTCCACATCTTCGTGCGTCGTGGTTTATTAGGCGCATCCTTGACAGGATTCTCGTCAACCGCGCAGTAACCACAGCGGACATGGCCGCAGTTGATGCAAGCGGGGCAGATGTCGTAGTTGTTGTCGTAGTAGCATCCGTGGCATCGCCACATGCAGCCCGAGTCGCCCATGTTCATGGTTCGTGTTGTCAAGGGGATCCGAGTTGAGAACTGAAGACGTAGTGGCCGGCGAGGGCGCTAGTCAGAGATCTAAAGACGATAGACTCTTGTAGTATTTCTGTAGAATGTAAAAAGGTGCTTGTAGACCAAAGGAAGCCGGAGAAGGCAGATAGAAGAGTGAGTTGGTAGAGCAGATGATCTTGTCGATGTCAAGAGACCTTCAAGTCCAGAGATGCTCGCTCTTATAAAGTCTGCTGTTTGTTAATGTATCACCTCAACAACTCACCTTGTCAAGTGAATCAACCATAATCGAATCGTTTCAAAGTCCACAAGCGAGGCGTAAATTCCAGACTAACCTCGCCTCTGAGGACGAGAGGTCCGTGATTGCCAAATAGCCATCGCCTCAGTATACACAAGAGGCGCAAGCTATAGACCAAACATCTGTGATCACGCTTGGAGCCAGTCATTCAGCTCTAGCATGGTCCGTAGTGCGACTATCCCGTGGCGTAGTAAGGGATATTGCCCACAGCTGGGAAGCTTGAAAGGGAGCGGACGCACCGGCCAGAGAGCTCTGTGTGTCGATTGGGTCTGGTTGAGAAGCAAGCATGGCCTTGCAAGACTTGAGCCACCTCAGGGAGGATTAAGTGACGGCATCGTCAGAGCGTCGGATAAATGCGTCAAGACAGGGCCGCCGCAAGCTTCGTCTGTACTCAGGGGGTAACACATCGGTCGGAAGGAGGGCACGTTGAATGTGCATCGAGGCTGCCACATGGGCATCTGCATTGGTTAGTAGTAAACATAGCAACGATGAAAAATACCCCTGGGTATCGAGGCTGGCCTTCTGGGGGCGTATAGCTCAAATCGCGAACCACCATGTACTTTGTCCGCTCGCCCAAGTACAACCACCTCGCGACTAGGGTCTAGCGGGCGCTGTAGACGAGAGGAGGGGTGCCGCCAAAGCTATTCATCTGTGTGCCTTTCTTTGCCTTTCAAGTACCCACGGCCGCCGCCGCTTGCGAGCTCCGCCACGCAAGGAGAGTGACACATGATGTCTTCAAGGAGCTGAGGTAATTTCGGTTCGGTCGGTGGAATTGAAGCCGAAGCAGGTGTGAATGACGAGGCGATTGAAAATTGTAAGGTCTGGTATGACCAGTCTTTTGTTGTCGCAAGATGTAAGTTGCTAAGTGATGTTGACCAGGCTGGGGAAGAGGGGAAGTCTTCGGTTGTGGGGTTGATGTTGTGCGGCTGAACTTTTGACAGCCGATCCTCGGGGGCTCTTGCCAAAGACCAAAAGACTCCAACTTTTGATAGGGCGAGGAAAGACCAAGGGAAAGGGGAGGGGAATGGTGACGAACGTCCCGGGTAAATCGAATGCGGCTCTGCGAATATAGGGCAATGATCATGCTGTGCAACCTCGGGCAATGTGCAGCCGCCCTGTTGATCCTTCGGACTGCTGCATTTTTGACCACCTAGAGGACTAGAACTCGTTAGCAGATGAACCTCTTTTACAAGAATAATGAGTATCGAACTGTGGCTGGGGAATCTGCAGGTACTTGGGCTGACGAGGTGAGACATCTTCATAGGTGGGCCCCATCAGTTGGTAGGTACTGAAATAGGCAGACATTCACGATGCCTTGCCAAGATACTTAAGGCATATCTGAGCTGCTCAGGAAAAAGGAGCAACACTTTTCGAATGGGTATTTCAAGTGTTTTGTCTGGTTTTTCGTCGAATAGAAACGGTGTCGTTGATGGCTGTTTCGAACTGCTCGAGTTCCCGGTTCTCTCGATGATGGGGTTCAAACGGACGGCTCGCGATACATGATGCACTGCTATACTCGAGCCAAAAGTTAGCACTGGTAATCTAGTATTTCTTTTTAATGAACTCACAAATATCAAGCTTGGTCGTTTTTCATCTAGTCGAGTTGATACCCGTAGCCAGTACCAACGTGTGGTCCAGGTCATCAAACGAGTGCAATGACCGAGTGTCATTCAGGGGGCCTCCAACCAGAAAGGGGGGCACCCAAAAGATCAAACCAAAAGACCAAGAAGAAAGGAAGGGAAGGACGTGGCTCTATATAGCTATGTGCTGTAGAAAGAGTGCCTTAGAGGCGCTATGGGTGGTGAGCCCCAAGCCGCAGAGCCTCTTGCAGCCTCTTTCACACACCAGGCTGAGACGTGCAATTGGAGAAAAGGCATATATGCACATTGCTCGATGCAGATTGCCTCCTTTGGGACTGAATCAAGGGCAGATGATTCTTCGCCGACGTCTGTGTCACTGCGTCCAGCCCGGTGCGCTCTAACTGAGCCAATATGAACTTGTGGTTGCTGATCGTGGAGGGTTTATGGCTTGAAAGGGGCGCTTGGGTGTCCAGAAAGATGCCCAGATATTCACGGTGATCTTACACAACGTGTGAAGATTGTTTTTGTGACGAGTGCGCCTCATTCACAATGATGGCGAACAACTGTCGGGCTGCAGCATGGCCGCCCAATGCCAGGATGACTAGGGTTGAGCAGCATAACCAGTGTTTTCTTGACTGGAAACTGGGGATAAATAGAAGCATAATGATGCATTATGCTAAGGCTAGGGCCGGCCGGCAGACCCAATCAAGCCAGTGCAGTGTGCCCCTGGCCCTGGCGCTTTGGCTTTGAGGCATCATCGTGAAGTCCAGGCATGTAAAGGGGGCTTCAAGACACCACACAAAGCAACCACGAAAAAAACAACGGGCTCTCCGGATATCTATAAACTTCTCAATGCTTCCATGGGCGAACTCGGCACAATGTCTTGCGTTTGTGCTTACGCAGACTTCGCCTCCACAAGATTTCAAATACCTACGGAGTACGCAGTCCGTACTGGAAGTACCTAAATACACAGCTTCGCCGACACGGATTGTTCATTCAACCCGAAAAAACCGACACGTCTTCTCCTTGAGGGATGATGCCTGGTTATGGCTCGATTTCGAGGCGAAGATGCCATACGCCTCCTGTCTCGTTTCGAATGAGGCGTGAGAGAACAAAAGCAATGTTTTGAGTCGTTGAGAGAAGAAGGAAGGATCGACGTACATAAGGGGAAGACTGACAGCCAATCATCTAGACAGGGTGAGTTCCTTCTGATGCTATCACGGAGGAACCGAGACGACACAATCGTTGGCAATGGTGCTGCTTCAACGCAAAGTTGGGCTTTCGACTGAGACATGGCGTAAGGTGAGAGCTCGGTGTGACAGGTGTGATGGGGGAGCGCCCTCTCGCCCGGTGGATTACCATGTTGGACGGTCCCTGCCAATAACAGTTGGTTAATGGTTTCGCCCAACACTTTCAGATTAATTGTATGAGGCTAGTTCAGCCAATGGAGGACCTAGCCAAGAACTATTTTGCAATTGAAGACAGACGCCATCGATTGTGCGGTTGCAGAGAACATTGTGCTCAATTGCCTCACCTCCTTCTTGGCTGAGGGTTGGCGGCTGTCATGTGATGAGCGGCGACATTGATCAGACGAATAATTTGAATCGAGACAAGAAAGATCAATTGATTTTACTAGTGAAAACTCAAACCACAACTATCACTTACTCGAATGATATAAGTTTCACATCCAATAGGTAGAGGCTCTCAGCAAAGATAGACGTCAACGGGAGCCGTTAGGTATGTACAGTGTGGTGTATGCTGACACGGCTCCTCCCGCACAGTCTCCGGCCCGCTCCTGCATCCCGCGCTTGCGACATGTTAAATGAGATCATCAACAACAGTCGAGGACAATTCTCACGTCTGCGCCCACGAGGTCGTCGTCACCCTCGTCAACCTCCCCGCGCTCATTGGCCTCCTCGTCGGCCTCGTCACCACCATCCGACTCTTCCGGCCCTCTCCCTCCTTCACAGACATGGCCCTCGAGTGCCCTCGCCGTCTCCTCCTGTAAAGACGTCCGCGATGTTGCGATGCCACGACCGGCGACGAGCAACCGCGCAGAGACGCGGTGGACGGTGCGCCTAGTCCCGTTCTTCTGCGCCGCCGCTATTGGCTACGCGACCTACCTCACAGTTGCACATCTCTGCGGTATGTGGTATCAAGCCCTCTCCTTGCATGACTGACGTATTACTAACGAAACGGGAAAGTCAACTATCTTCTTCGAGAAAAGAAAAAGACGGCCGTCGCAGTCGTCCTTTTGGTTCTCTACTTTGTCTTCTTCATCCTCACCGTTGCAACCTACTTCCGAACTTTCCTTACCATTCAATTCAAAACTGGATTCGTCCCCTTGACGCCCGAACGAGAAGCCCTCGACCAGGAACGCGAGCAGATAAAGAAGCGAGGGGGTGACCTCGAGGCTCTACCATGGGTCCCTCCCGATACGAATCCTGATAGTCCTGGCCTGGAGACATTTTACAGCAGAGATGTTTTTGTCTGCGAGAGCGACGGCCGTCCCAGATGGTGCTCTGAATGCAGGAACTGGAAACCTGACCGCGCCCACCATTCAAGTGATCTTGATCGATGCGTTCGAAAAATGGATCACCTGTGTCCCTGGGTAGGAGGCGTGGTGGGGGAGAATTGTGAGAAACCTTGCAGAGCGGACTCATATCTCAACTAACAAGTTACAGCCTTCAATTTCTTTGTCCAGTTCACATCGTACTGCGCATCATACTGCACCGTTTGTCTGGCCACATCCGGATATTCGCTGCATCTGAAGATGCAAGACGGAGAGTCCTTGGATGCACGCATCGTCGTGGGCATCGCACTCGCAGGCCTGTTTTGCCTTTTCACCTCGGCCATGACCATGACGTCGGCCCGCTTTGTCTTCACAAACATTACTAACATCGACTTGTTCAAGAAGAACCAGGTCTTTCGACTGGCTGTTCGAGTATCACATACCACTCGACCGACAGATCGTTTTCAAACCATCGTATACCCGCTCTCGCCAGTGTGTTCAAGTTCAACTACTTTTTCGAGGGGTCAGCTTAATAGTGTCAACCGATCTCGAACACCGTCGCCAGAGCCGAGGATGGCAGCCAGGGACCAGCAAGCCAGGCGAACATTCGCAATCTTGACCACAGAGCCCGGCGAGAACCCCTGGGACCTCGGGTACTGGGGGAACTTCAAGTCGGTCATGGGCAACTCGGTTTTTGAGTGGCTGCTGCCCATCCGGCACTCTCCCTGCTGTAATCATGACAGCATGGTGAGCGACTACGAATATGGACCTCTCATCGAGGTGCTGAAGCGACGATATGGGATCACCGACGGTGGACCCGCTAAGGAAGGGATTGAGATGACGTCGAATTAGATACCCTCGGTATGTTAGAGCGCTTTCTTTTTACAGTATAACGGGCATGAAGAGGTGGATATACCCATGTAATATTTAGATGGTGATTAGACGTTGCCCGACACAGACGGGATTGATGTGAGTGGACATCATGGCCCTCGAGGCTACACAATTCATTTCCTTGAACGTTACTTTGAGTTCATCTTGCAATGCCGTGTCTTCGGGAGAGGGGACGGGGCAAAAGACAAGGGGCAATGGCCGCCCTTGAGTTCAGCAGCCTGCATGTCTCAGGACCTAATGAGGCAGTCTCTCGTCTGACTTCCGCTGAGGGGTTGTCAACATCGAAGCCTCACCACGCACAACTCACTCCGTCCAACGGCAAAAAGAAATCGTGGTCAACACCAAAAAACATACAACAGCGGGGATTCGCTGGTCGTCACCGACCCAACTACTAATCCGCCCCTCACCGGCTTATCTATGGGAGAGCGGACGGGATCCCGAGTTCTCCGGTGGGTATGGTCGTATATGCTTGTTTTGGTGGTGAGAGGCGTTATGTGCAGGCGGTGAGCGAAGAGCTTCGAGGAGAACAATGGCCAGTCACAACATGACCACAATAGGAAATTTGAATTCCCTTGAAGATCCAAATTCTCCAATTGTATATCAGGAGATGAAAAACCAAGGGACACGACAGAAATGTGCAAATTGGAGGGCAAATTGGTTGTGCTGTAGGGTAAGGCGGAGGGTTGGGAAACCTGTCTAGAACAGCAATGAGGGGTTCACCAGAGCATGCCAATACACGAACTTTTCCGGCTCTCTGGTGTAAAATTGAGAGAGAAATGTTGCTAATATGAATACCAGGTCTAATTTACGTTTCTTGATGTCGGATTGAGTAGGCCGTTAGCTCCTCATTCATCAAGTCTACGGATTTCGAGCCACATGACTTGACATGACAAAAGTTGAGATACACAACAAGCATAGACAGAAAATAGCATATTCAAGAGGCCCAGAGGAAGGAAAAGAAAAGCAAATCGTGGACATTGACAGTTGTGGCTGATCAAAATAACAATTGATCCTCCCACAGTAAATATTGTGCCACTTGAAGAGCGGCGGCCCTGGCGCCACCATCACGATCGGAGCTGGAAGCAAACGCCCCATTGAAATGAACAGTCACTGGCAGAGTGAACAGCTTGAATCATCCCATGAGTGCCCATAAGGCTCCAAGGAGGTCACAACAGAGGGTTTGTACCAATCAGGGCTTCCAATGGGGGCGATACATCTTCACTCTCTATCATCTGCTTGAGAACTAAGTATCGTGAGGATAAGTCTTTAGTACCCATGCGGCTAGAAGAAGCGGCCGATTGTTAATGACATAACACTGGGGCAAGGTACTGCTTGGAGCCTTGTGGGCACTCATCCCATGGGACGAGTTGAATTAGAATCGTGTTCACGTGATAGACTAGGTATCTACAGTACAGTACATGGAAAGCAAAGTTGGATGGGACGGTTAAAGTGCGGTAATGGATGTTGCCTGGGAAGGGGGAAGGGGGAAGGTGGAAAGGGCACTGGCATGGAGATGGAGATGAGGAAGGAGCACTCAGGCCAAGCAGAGACTTCCTAGGAAAGAGCATTCTCCTCAGAGTACCTACGCTGACTAAGGCCATGCCAGACCAACCATGGACACTCGAGGTTTCGTTTCTTCGGCCGAAGGCCTTCAGAAACCTTGGCAAGTCTCTTTCCCAATGAGACCCATTTATATTCAGAGGCCATTTTCTCTTTTCAAACCGGTGTCGAGCAGACATCTCGTCGGTGGGTCCTGGATCTGCACGGGTGGATCCTCCCCACCCTAGCGTCAGCCAGTCATATCCCGCGTTACCATGCAACATCAAACCCGCAACCATCTTCAACTGCGATCCCTTCGCTACCTTGACAATATTTCATTGATACGCCAATCATCGAACGCAAACTGACACAGGAGCTGATGAGGGAATTTCCGAGCTCGCATGATTTGAGTGAGACTTTGTTTTCGTGGCGTTGCGTGCGTGATCACGGCTGAGTCCTCCCTTCCTTCCCGCGGGAACGTCGCAAAAAGGGAGGCGCGAGAGTCCCGGACCAAGGCAGCAAACTGCATGCTTGCTGATCCATCCATCACTTCTCATCACACTCGTTCTCTCGCTCACACGGCATTGCTCACCGCCAGAGAAAGCATGCCCGCTTCCCCGCTCCCAGGGGCCTCGTCGCCGCTGAATGAGGCCGGATGGCGCCGCTCCCAGTTCACGTACCGCCAGCTCTCGCAGCTCGCATTGTCCAACACGTCGTGCCCGCTACGCGTTATCGCCCACATCGACCTCGATGCTTTCTACGCCCAGTGCGAGATGGTCCGGCTCGGCACACCCGAGGACAAGCCGCTTGCGGTGCAGCAATGGTGAGTTTACCTCCGCGCGGCCCATCCATCCCTTCCGAGTCACTTCCCCGCTGTTTGTTGCACTTTGGCCTGCCGTCACCAGAAATGGTGGCTTAATGTTGTCTCTTTCCTCAAGTTCTGGACTCTACGTTGGCTATCCATCTGCTTGCCGCTGGATACTTGGGGGATTCATTCTGGTTTGCCTCGCCACAGACAAGTGTTGCCCTTCTGCTCGCCTTGAACGAGAAGTTGACTATGGAGGACTTCTTGAATCTATTGAAAAAGCTGTCTTCATTATCCTACCACTTGATACGAGTCTCTCACAAGTCTCTTCGCGACTATTGGCCCATGTTACCTCCAGACGTTCCCTCTTGCAATCTTGCCTCCGCTTCCCCCCTCCCGATGAACCCCTGTCTCTCTTGAGTTACATTTCCCTTCTGGTGGCTGTTTTACCATCCCCCTCGACGGACATTATCCGATTTGATTGGCTGGCAGAGTTGTCAAGGACCCATCAATGTTGTTGCTGCTCCTCGCCGGTTTCGTTTATATGTCGAGCTTTCGACACTTCCTGCTGCTCCACGGCCTTGATTGGTCGAGAGAGCTGTCAAAGGACCCATCGATCCTTTTCTTCTCCCTCGCCGGTCAACTTGTTACGAGCAACATTCCAATGGCGCCCTTCTTCACTGCTGATTGGATGCCACCATTTCCAAAGGACCCATCAACATGTTCGTCTCTACACACCGGTCTTTATATGTCGAGTTTCGACAATATTTCTGGTGTTTACTGCTGGTTGGGACTCAGGAAGTGATTGGTTGACAGAGTTGTCAGAGGACCCATCTCTGGTTCTTTCACCCACCCGTCTCAATCTCAACCGCAAAGCTCTCAGGATGCCCGCCCTCAGTTGGACACTTGGTTGGGCGGAATTGCTTTCCGTTGGCGCTTGAGTTCCCGTGTTTGCCCGCCTTCTCTGCCACACCAGTTCCGACTTGTTCATTATCCCTCATGTTCATGTCTTACTGGCATAATGATAATCTGGCGAGCACGATGGTAACAATTTTACAGGCAGGGACTTATCGCTGTCAACTATCCAGCCCGCGAATCAGGTATTGGACGCCACTGTAATGTCGACGAGGCAAAGAAACTGTGTCCCGACCTCATTGCTCAGCACGTGGCCACATGGAGAGAGGGAGACGACAAGTGGGCATACCGGGACGATGCCGCTGCCAACATAGCAACCGACAAGGTCTCGCTTGACCCCTATCGACTCCAGTCGAGAAAGATCCTGGCAACGATCAAGGACGCACTGCCTCATGACTTGCAGAAGGTGGAGAAGGCAAGCATCGACGAAGTCTTCCTGGACCTCTCCAGTCAAATCCATTCGATCCTCCTAGAGCGGTTCCCCGAGTTGAAGAATCCACCACCATACGATGACCCCACCGAAAGACTCCCGCTTCCATCTATCGTTGCTCTCGACTGGCAAACCGATGCCTTGGTTGATCTGGACGAGGAGCAAGAAACGATAGATCCTGACTGGGACGATGTCGCCATCCTGATAGGGTCAGAGATTGTTCGCGATGTGAGGGCCAAGGTACGACAAGACTTGGGGTACACATGTTCAGCAGGAGTAGCCAGCAACAAGCTTCTCAGCAAGCTGGGATCTGGTTACAAGAAGCCCAACAAGCAGACTGTCGTTCGCAACCGAGCCGTGTCGTCCTTCTTGTCCGGGTTCAAAATCACCAAGCTGCGGAACTTGGGTGGTAAACTCGGCGAACAGATTGTTTCTACGTTCAACACCGAGAGCCTCACCGAGTTGTTGGAGGTACCATTGGCAACTATAAAGTCAAAGCTTGGACATGATACTGGGTTATGGATCCACAACACTATCCGGGGCATCGACACCAGCGAGGTCAACTCACGTACTCAGATCAAGTCGATGTTATCAGCCAAGTCATTCCGCCCTACCATCAACTCTCAGGAACAAGCTGTACGTTGGTTGAGGATCTTTGTCGCTGACATCTTTGCTCGCCTTGTTGAAGAAGGGGTACTGGAGAACAAACGACGACCTCGGACTATCAACCTGCATCATCGTCACGAAGGACAGGTAAAGTCACGGCAAAGTCCCATCCGTCAGGGCAAAGCGCTGAACGAGGAGAGTCTGCTTGAGTTGGCCAAGGATCTCCTGGGTCAGATTATTGTTGAAGGTAGGGTCTGGCCTTGCGCGAACCTTAGTCTCAGTGTTGGTGGATTTGAAGATGGTGTCAAGGGAAACATGGGAATTGACGCATTCCTGGTCAAAGGGGAGGAAGCCGAAGCCCTTCGGTCGTCGACCCCCGAGAGCCGCCCGGCATCTACGGGATCCGAACACGCTGTGAAGAAGCGCCGGGTTGAGGATAACGGTATCCAGAGGTTCTTTGCAAAGAGACCATCCGGCAACCAAAGTCCCTTCTACGCGCCTGCAATTCCTCAAGATCAATCCAAGACCAATCCGCCTCCCTCCAACTTTGAGGCCTTCGGTTCGAAGCATGAATATAATACCGGCGGTGAAACCGAAATCCCCATGCGCCAAAACGACGCATCAGATGCAGCCATTCCGGATGCGAGCTACTCTGCAGACATGCAAGAAGATTGCAACCAACCGACTCTCGCTGATTCGCTTGTATGCTCTCGCTGTAAGACCAGCTTCGGAGACCCAGACGCGCTGCAGAGCCATGAGGATTGGCACATGGCCAAGGACCTACAGGAGGAGGAACGTGTCAAACCTACATTCGCTCAACGGCAAGCCGCTCCACGTAACTCGTCACAAAAGACGCAGGGAACCTCGTCAAGACGCGGCCGAGGAGGGAAGCTCGAGCAAGGACAAAGTCGGCTCAAATTTGGCTGACGGTTTTGAGCATCATCGCAGCGTCTGCTCAAACACGGCGTCAACTGAAATGGATGCGCCTCGAACGACAGAAGCGAAATTGTTCGATTTTAACACTCAGGGCTCCTTGGCTCGCGTCGACTTGCCGTCACAGCATGATCATGGGTGCAGTGACTGGGGATATTCGTGGACTGGGCTGGGTTGAGCATTGACGGAGGCGTCAAGGGTTGAAGAGAATGAGCTTACAACGAGTGTTATGAAGCTATTCTCGAGCGTGCATTCAGGTGCATTCAGTACGTTGCACAAGCCACTTCCTACGGACCGGGGCTGTGGGATGGTTACACAAACAGCCCTTCACTAATTACTCCAGCATTAGCTGTGCGACGACAGGTCCAGAACGGGCGTTCTGAAACTGTTGGATGGAGGAGAATGGATGCCACAAACCGGGGGAATTGCGGCTGCATGGGAACACAGTTCATGTCAAAACGGCCGAGGCGGCATGACAGGCGATGAGGCATGCGGGCAGCCGAGAGCGTACCAGGGAGGAAACGTTTCAAAGCAGCTTAACTGGCTACGGCATACCGGATGCTTGGTGGTCAAAGACGACGGACGAACCGGAAGCGATGTCAATCTACGACATGACGATGCAGGCATCGGGGCTGTCATTTGCGACCAGACGGCACCCGTCGATTGCGTGGGATGCCAAGGTATCTTGTTCCGTTTCGTTAAGGTTTTCCTGACATGGAAGATCGATATGATTGGACAGGGGGGCTTGGGCACCAAACAATATGGTTCCAGAAGGCGGGCAGCGCAGGGTTGGGCCTCAATTGGTGCGAGGCATTGATACCCAACCCAACCTTCGGTCAAGCGCAGGCGACCACGCAAAGGCAGTTGACAACCACTCAAGACGGCTGCTCTGCCTCAGTTGCAGCTGAGGTAATATTGGCAATGGCAACACCTGACAAGCATGGCGCTGTGGAAACACGTTGCCTGTCATGTGTGGGCGTCAAAGATTGGGCTAACGCCTGGCGAACAGCGACTGGGACATGGCGAGGAGAAATAAGGAGCCAGAGGAGCAGAGATGCCCAACTCGCTCCGAGACGGTTGGGCAAGGCACGATACATACGATGCAACCAGAAGGGAACACACGGCTTCTTTTTGAGACAGGGCGACGGACGTTGCATGGATTGGACTATCTGGGAAGGACACAGAGGGAGCTCCATCAACATACGTGTCGCTTGGAGATGGGATTCGGTGTGGAATCAGCAGAGGAAGCGAGTCTCTGATACCTCAGAGGGGATATAAAGCTGCGTCATGAGGTTGGCGTCGGGAGATGGCGACGGTTCCTGGATGGTTTACGCTCCAGCCTACCGTTATCCTTTTGCTTCCGCGCGCCGCCTCACGCCAGTCACGTAGACAGATTTCGTGCTTGCAGAGACTATACCAGACCAGACCAGACCGCGCACATCTTCCAGACAAGGACAATCTCCCCGTGTCTTGTTACGGGGGAATCCTTGGTTTGAGCTGAGAGGAGGACGTCATCGTCACCCTCATCACCTCCGTCGCGCCGCTGCAGCCGGCATCACGACCACAGCGCGCGCGCAGAAGCTCCATCACGACCGCTGATCACTGGGTAAGAGGAGAGAGTTTCATGTCGCGTATCCAAGCTTCGTGCAAGAAGAGGATTCCGTTGCGCCCACCCACGGGCGATCGTAACTTGGGAAGAGAAGGGCGTATCGCCATAATCATCCAACAGGAACGGGGAGACTGGGCGTTGGGCATCGTCAAAACAAGGGATAGCCTTGTTCACGACGAGACAACGGCGACATTCAGAGGGGCATCTGCCGCGCCAGCCAGGCACATCTACGACTGCTCTGGGTCGAGGTGCCAGCACAGACAGGACTGTGATCTGTTTGGATCGTCAGTTCGGACGTGTCGGGTTCGATCTCTAATAAACGGCGGATTGAAGCGTTTTCCCCATGTGCCAGACCTCATTTAACGAAGAAACCTTGGTATGACACTTTTTGGTGCAGTATCATTATCAGTACCCCCGTACTATTTTGACGCCGACTCTCTCGCCACGTTGCAACCTGGACGACAACGAAGACGCGGATTTCCCCAATGAGACCTGACAGAAGAAGGCTTGCAGTTGCATCTGTCACACCACACGGCACATCATCACGGCGCAAGGGACGAGACATAGAGTCCTAGCTCGGCAAGCAGGCAAAGCCACAAACAACGGTCTCACAGCCAGCCACCAGCCAGCCAGCTAGCAAGGCGGCCACAGTGGCCGTAAGCCGCCATCATCAGCGCTCAACTTCAATCAGGACACGGCGGCGGGGTATGTAGTGGCTCGCCGCCGGTTACAGAGTCACGTCGACGTGGACAACTGGACAAAGACTCGACAGGACAAGAAGGACCAAGAAGAGGAGAAGGGTTTTGGACCAACCAGAACGACAGGCCGGCTTCGTCGTCTTCTGGTGCCCAAGCGACCGTCACCGCCAGAGCGCGTGCCCAACCCCCAGCCCGACAAGGCAGAGGAAGCGGCAGCGACAGCCCAGGCCACCACGCGTACAAGTCTCCGGGAGACCCAGAGGTGCCAACCGCATCCGGCGTCGGTGGGCCAGGATTTGCTGAGGCCGTCGTCTCGGTCCAACGGTCCACCAAAATAGGTCGCCACTGGACGGGGACGGAACAGGGTTGTTGGCAGCAGCAGGGCTCAGGCCAGGGCCAGGGCCGGGGCCAGGATCTCGACGTGAGCCAGAATCAGAATCAGAATCAGGGCACCCACGCGCGAGGCCAGCAACTCCAGGTGCAGATCCCGCAGCTTGACGTTGGGCTCGGTCAGGGAGAAGGACAAGCCTACTACGCCACACCAGCCATCTCAGCCCAGCCATCGTCAGAGGAGATATCATATTCTCCCTTTCACCAGCAGCAAGCAGCTGACGCCAGCAACCTGTACTACCTCGCCCTGTTACAGAACCAGAACCAGAACCAGCTTCACCAGGAGCAGAGTTATCAACTCGACAACCTCGGATACCAGAGCCTCGACTATCACGCCTCCTGCTGGTCGCCACCACCTCTTCCTCCAGCATCAGCACCTCCGCCAGCATCTCCACCGAGGCCACCACCCAGACGGCGTTTCCAGCCAACTACGTCTCGCCGTCAGCAGAGCCTGTCCCACTGCCGGTCCAGCTCAAGCTCTGGTAGGCGTCTGCTGGCCTCTCGGTCTCCTGCAAGTCAGTCTGCCACTGGGAAGGCCCCTCGCCAGCGGCTAGACCCACTACCACCACAGAATCAGAGCCAGCAGCAGGCGTCCACGTCCACTCCCACGCCCACCGCCCACCACCGCCATTCGCCTTTTCTTCCCCCTCCTCCACCTCAACCTCTTTCTCCTGCTCCCTCTTCTCTTTCTGCCTGTTCTGCCTCCCAGCAACAATCCACCTCATCCCCCGTCTCTTCTCCCGTCCCCGTTCCGGCCTTTTCTTCCTCCTCTTCTTCCTCGTCCACATCCACCTCCGTCCCCTCATCGTCGTCTCGTCGTCAAACCCCTCACTCGGTCGACTCATCATCCATATCCCCTCAGATCACAATGTCGAGAGCATCCCGGAACCAACACGCCCCCACCGGTGCTGGTGGACGACAAAATGAATACTTTGTCCCTCGCGATGGCATCGATCGTGAGGTCATCTCCGCCGACATCTGCCGCTACCTTGGTAACGACGCCCTCGTGCGTCCTGGCCACTACGAGGTATGCCAACACCATGGCTCACGCTGACGCCACGTCCGAATGAACAAATGGCTCACTGCCCACAACAGAACCCCCAGACCGGCCAAGTAGTCCAGGGCTACTACATCACCGCCTACAGGAACTTGACAACAGTACGTTGTGTCCTCGCACATCAACACTTCACAATACTTACAACCCCTCTAGGCCATGATTGAAGATCTTAAGGCAGACTCGGCTCGTTGGGATAGTGAAAGGCGGGCGCAGACCTCGCGCAACACCTCCGGAGGTATCCATGCCTCGAGAAATGCCACTGGCGTTCCGCCGAGACACTCATCTAACTCACCTCTAGTGCAGTACCGCCACTCCGAGACGCATCAGTCGCGCCAGCACCACGGCCCGACCGAGGGTCCCTACCAGACCGACCCCTACGCCCGTGACGCAGGCTTTGACAGCACCAGGTACCCAGGAACGGGCGCTCCCGGCTATACTGGCGCCGCCGGCTCTTACACGCAGGCCTATGGCGCCACAAGTGCTGGTGCCTATGCCGGCTATCCTCAGACCCAGCAGTCTCCTCCTCCGGCGGACGCGCGATACGGCTCTACTCCCGCGAGCGGCTCCGTCTTGAACCAGGCCTACCAGGCGGCCCAGGATAGCTACATGACCATGGGCGCAAACCGCAACCAGAGGGGATACGCCGGTGACCCGTATGCTAACCAGATGGCCACCTCAGCCGCCGCTGCCCAGCAGGCTGTATATGCCACTGCGGCACCCACGACAGCGGGCTATCCCGCCACTGCTGCTCCTTACCCATATTCAGGTCAGGTTCCTCCTGCGGGTGCATCGTCGTACGCGACAATGCAGCCCCAGGATCCCTTCTACGGTCGTGGTGCGTATCAGAGGCATACCCATCCGCCCACTCGCCTTGAGAGCACAGTAACTGATACTCGAGCGTCTTCCAGCAGGCCAATCGACCCAACAAGCATACGCAGCAGCCCAGGCACCACAGTATGATGAAACCCCCCGTGCTCGCGCTTCCGCGACCCCAACAAATACTCAAACAAATCCCAGTGGCACCTCCAGCAGCCGACGTAGTGAACGGGAAAGCGACAGGCACGCTTCAGACCGACACCACCGCTCCAGCCGCCGGTAAAAGGCGCCCTCCCCTTTCTACCCCCCTGGATGACCGAGGCCGGAACCTCCCCCTCCCCCTCCCCCCCTTCATCCCCTTACCTGAGCTTGCCGAGGCGCTCCAACGTCTTCGCGAGTGTGTGATGATTTCTGCATAATGACCGGGTCAAATTGGAGTTCGGCTTTTCCACTTGGATCGACACTTTCGTCCCTCTCTTTTCTGTTTCTCCCGGATGTGATGCCAACCCCAGAGGTTCCAGATTTTCTTTCTCTGGCTGGCTGCCACTGTTGAGCTTGCAAGCTGCATCTCATCTCGGCACTGGAGTTCTCCCACCGGAAAGGTTTTACATCGTCCGTTTTTGGAGACTTGCTTGTCGTCCATAAAACCCCCTGGACACCTGACCTGCTGGCCTACCTGGACTCGATATACCCTCCTCCCCCTTTTCCTGGATATACCAACTGCTATTTGCTACCGATGATTCCCTGGAACATTCAACTGGACCTGACCAGACCGGACCTGACCTTGGAGACGCATACCTTTGGATCTTTTTTTGACCTCTTTTTGATTACGACCTTTGCATATGGATGGGCCTGCCCTGGATGACGACCTCATCGACTTACGCACCGTTATTTACCGTACCTTGCCACACGGATGAGACATGCTGCATACGTTTTACACTGGGATACGGCGCTGGGTGGGAAAAACGGAAGGGGGTCCATCCCTCGACCTGGTGGAACTTGTGGGTGGTGTTTACACTGTCATGATGCATGCACGACGAAGCATGTCATATGTGACTTGGCCTTGCTGTCCGGATCCGCCTCGAGTGGGAGTATTTTGTGTTTTCGTTGCTTCCTGGATCTGGCTGGTTCTTGCTCCTTTCCTCCCTCCAATGTCTTTGGCTCCCCGGATTCTTCGATGTGACCCATCGTCGAGACGCGGTGTTGTTTTGAACAAAAAGAATAATAGATTGGCAGAGGCCGGAACCCGGACAGCAAGGTGAGTTCGAACAAGAGCTTGTATATATTAGCCAACCCTCTCTCAAAGGATCTCTTTTGCTCCCTCCCTCTCCTGCTCCCTCTTTTCTTTTTCCATTGATGGAACTCACCATGGACTCATTGAACTCTTTCTTGACATCTCAGCTTGTACCACACAGAGAGACTGACTCGACAGACCTTACTCTCCAGCTAGGCGTTACTTCTTCTACTTCCTGGACATGGACTCGGGATCTCTCTGGATCAAGTCAATCTTGACAACCACCCGCTCTCCAGCTTCCAATGGATAAGGACCGTCTTCAGGAGCACACCCCTCTTCACACTGTCACCTTTTATGGGCATCACTTCGCTTTGCTATTGGCCGCTTCTTCCCTTTGGACTACCATGACCTCGTCCGAGGTTGGTTCTCGTTCGTCTTCGACGATACTCGCTCTCAATTGCAACCGCGTTGAGCAGCATGGGAAACCAAACCAAACCAAAAAAAAAAGGATGACCAGCAAGCCATTGCAAAGGAGTCAAGGTAACGTGCAAGCAAACACATGGTGTGACCTTCAACTTGGACTCTTTTCCCGTCTGAATAATCACCGGACTGCATATTGCTTCTGTCTGCGGCATTTGTCGCCATCGTTGCTATCTGCATTCTGCGGAATTCAGCCCGGTCTTTGCACCATTTGGCTCAACCCTCTAGGACTTTGCTTGAGACGCGTCAACTTGCTTGCTACATCGTTTGGTCTATGGCAACTGTGATACTTCGACAATGTTCCCTGGTGCTTCGACAATATCAACACTTGTGTGGATCAATCTTGAGGACGACAATCTGGTTTAATCAACGAGCATGTACGCCAACTATACTGGAACTTCTTTAATCTGGCTCCGAGGAACACCTGGTCTCGACGATGTGGATGTTTGGGTCTTTTTTTTCTTTTCACTTCTGGGATGATGATGAATGTCTTATGTGGATAGCTCAGGGAAGGGATTGGGTATGATGATGGTCTCCGATGGTTGGCTTCTATGTGGTCTTGTTCTATTATCTGGTATTCTCTGACCTTGGATCCGTGGATATTTCCTGTTTGGACCTTTTTCCTGTTTCTTCTTCTCTTTCTGTTGTCATCTTTTAATCGCGCTTCTTGTCTATTTGACCATGGCCCGGACTGGACGAATGGAGTTTATGGTTGGGAATGAATCTTTCTTGTCTGGATGGAGTGGAGTGGTTCATGTGTTTATGTTTGTCTTGAGATTGCGTCTTGACTTGGCCCGAGTACTTATCATTGTGCATTGCAAAAGTCTGTCTGTCATTGTAATACAAATCGTTGGCAAACTGGTCAACTAAAACAAACTAAGCCCCTTCATCCGTCCCGTCGTTCCATCCAAATCACATCAAGATCCATATCCATCAGTCACACAATCCATCACAGCTGCGGCCCACCATCCACCACTTGGCTCGACCAGCCTTGACATTCCCGTCCCATCCATCATGTCCGCTCTTGTCGACATCCGTCCTCAGTGGTCGCGGGGTTCGCGGGGTTCGCGCGAGGGGTTGACCCCCGGGTTCATGAGGGGGTTGTTGTTGACGAACGGGCGACGCCCACGACGTCGGTACGGATGGTGAGAGTGAAGGCGCTGGTGGATACAATGCGCCGTGTGATGATGTCTCGGGAGCTGGTGAGCAGGACGAGGAGGTGGTGGTGGCTCGAGGACACCATCCTCGAGGAGCGTGTCGATCACATCAATGATCCAACGCTCCGCGCGGCGAAGGGCCTCATTCGGGGGATCGGACTCCAAGGGGCAATATGGAACACCGAGGCCGCGAATGAGCATACGGACCCGGTTCATGTCATGGGCCGCAATCGACCCGACATTCCTGCTGTCATGGATCGCAGCCAGCTGCTCAATGGAGGTGACCGTATCATTCATTAAGATCATCATGGGTTGTGCAAGACCTATAAGATGAAGCACGTAGAAGAAGAACCCGAGAGATGGTTGAGGACCGGCCGAGATGAAAAGTTTGTGGTGGCCGCGGGGGGCCTCGACTTGAAAAACCTGGAAGCGAGTCGGCTCAGGTTCCGGCTGCGAAATGGCAGTCGAAGGGGTGGACAGGGGAGAGATCGAAGAGAGAGTCGGAGAAGAGGAGGCAGAGGTATCAGAGGAAGAAGGATCGGCAGAGAACATCATGATTGAAGTTGAGGAGTGAGTAGAGTGGAGTAAAGTAGAGTAGTGCTTGTGTCTTGTCGTTGGCTGTTGGTTGCTGGTTGCTGGTTGCTGGTAGAGGAAGAGTAGCCATGAGAGAAGAGGGGACAACCCCTAGATATAGCCATTGGCGAAGCAACTCTGGGATATCTAGGTGGTACCGACGAGAACACGACAACTCCAAAGATAGCTAGTCAATTCCGTGACGGGCTCACCCGGGCGGCCTGCACGACTCGGTTGATATCACAACAACCGTGGTCGTGGTCGTGGCGATGGCCGGGCTCGGCTCGCAAGCCTGGTGCCATACGGGACTAGGTTTCGGAGGCTGTAGGTGCCCGTGGATGAGATGTGTGCAGCCGCTGCTGTCCGGGATGCCGCCTTGTTTTGGCCCCGACCTCCGATGGTGATGATGAGTACAGTGTTGAAACTGGACCTGGCCTTGAGGGAACAAACGGAATTGTTTGTACGGTGCTCGTCGGAAGGTCCACGGGGAGCCAGAGTTTGTCGTCGAGGGAGCTGAGGCAACGAAGGAGACGAGCATGATGAGTACGACCATGATGCGTATCGGCCATGTTTGGCGTTTGAACCTCCCGGCCTCCCATGCTAAGATGACTATCAGTCTCTTTCCATCGATCGAGAGCGTCCCTATGACATCAGTGAGGTGTTGAAAAGACATGATCTCGCACACTGGGCGGGATTCCCCCCCTCATGACCTCGTTACACGAGGCTGCATGAATCAGGGCGTGACCTCAGTCAGGGACGTACGTACCTCTGCAGGTGCTCGGATAGATTACCAGCATGAGCCCTATCCCGGACATGGAGAGATTCTGCACGTATAAGGGCGCATATTGGCGTTTCGGGGGTACAAGTGGAACAGAGTCGAAGCGCAAAGCCTGTGGGCAGCCTAGCAGCCTTGCAGGGGAGGTTAGGGCGGATGCCTCTTCTGTACGGAGGAGAGGGTTCGATCCGTTTGTTAGTTGCCAAGTCACCTCGGACGCTTATGCTCAGAGTAGCAGCGAGACGGGTGGCTGCGTGGGTGCAATCAAGCATGAGCAAGTTTTGTCGAGAATGTCGAGTCGTTGACGAACACGTCAGATCGGGCTGAGGATGGAGGGTGAGCTTCTCGTCTGTGCTGTTGCGGATAGGAAGAGATTGGCTGCGAGAAGTTGTTTGTGTCTATGTCTTGGAGTTGTGGCGCTGCAGCCAACCAGGGCTAAACCACAGTATCCGAACGGAATATGAACTGGAGGGAACTAGCGTCAACAAGAAATACGAGTTTCTGAGACAAGGAAATAGATTGCGTATTGCCTTGGAGTACTCGAGGGAGAACAGGGGATGATGGAAGACAATGGAGGGGGAAAGGGGAGAGAGGGGGGGGAGATGATAGGAGAAACGACAAGGACCAATTATTTACGAGGCAGGAACAGGGAAGCCGCAAGGCATCGACATATGCAGTTGCCTCATATAGGCCGACTGCATCTTGCAGGGCAGCACAGCACAGTTTCCCCGGATGGGAAAGGGCCACGCACACGCACTCACGCACGCACGCATGCTCTAGACGCTCCGGTGTAACTGCAGCTTCCCGTCTCGTTTCCGACCTCAAGTAAGAATCGACCTATCTGGCAGGTGCCACCTGCCTTCTACTGCCGAAGCATTCCCCGCTCCTGCCTGAGCCCTCAAGCGGGCGCCGGCATGAGAAGGACTCCACGGATTGCTTCATTCTTGACCAAAACATCGACACATGACACGGAACTGTGAACACCAAGACACCGACACTCGCAGGGAACTGGAGACACAAGCGTATTCGTTCATTCATTATCAATCAACCCGAATCATTCAGTACTTCAGTCCAATCAGCTCCTTGATCTTGTTCCTGGCCGTTATCAACGCAATCACTCCGAACCTTGTCGTCTTCGCCTTCCACCCCTCCTTGATGGGGAGTCTCTCCTCTAGGAAGAATGCCCTGGCATAGTCGCACGGAAGCTCGCTGCCGTTGCCAATGACGTTGAGGACGAGCGCAATCTCGGCACACGAGAGGTCATGCTCGAAGGCTCCATACAGACAGCCCGGGTTGTCGGCCTTCTGCCTCTCGATACGCCGCTTGCGCAGGTCTCCGAGGTCCTGAGCCGTGAGGGCCTTTCCATCCTTTGCAGAGGCGAGGAGATCTTCAATGAGGTCCTTCTGAGGGGTTCGGTTGTCGCCCTGCTGATGATCACGCCGTGTAAGAGAAATGTCGTGCTCCACGACATTGGGAAGAGCCAGCTGATCCAGGTTCAGAACTCTATGACCTTCGGCGTCTTCTTGACCGGGCGTCCGCATGCCGAACTTTCCAAAAATGGACCATGGGTCGCTGATCGTGTGCCAAACGCTCTGCAGAAACGTTCGTTGAGGGACAGGGTCGTTGTGGAACTTTGACGGAGCGCGCTCATTGAAGATTGGATTGGCAAAGACGGCACCGAGGGGCTTGGACAGGCCGACAGCATCCATGCCAGCGAGAACTTCTTCAACTCGCACGTTGCGCCCATCGCGAGGGAGGTAGCCATGGTTTGCGAGACTGTTGATGAGAGGGCAAGGACCTCGCAGGTCACCAGGCCGAGAGGGAGCGTAGGTTCCCTTGGCGAGCTGTTCGGACGCCTGGTCTTGGTCTGCCATGGCTTCTTGCTGGACGAAGACTAGAGATGAGAGATCCAAGAGAAAGATAAACGTGCGAGAAGAGGGGAAGGCGATGCTTCACCTCCCACAGCTCCTCACCTCTTGGGTCACCGTACCATGTCAGCCACCGGCAAGCACCGTTGGCTGTGCGTGCCGAGAATGCGACACATCTACAGGTCAGCGCGATGTGGCACAACGTTTGCTGTGTCTCGAGCACATGGGCTTACGCCCAGTCGCAGATGAGGTCTCAGATCCTACTGCACTGTAGGCGAGTCTGACGCCCTCGGGCGGCCTATGGGAGCCAGCGAATTGTCAAGCAGCCTTTCGATAGACGCCGGCAGATGCATGCTTAGCCTGGCTCAACCGGGGATAGAGGCCGTCCCAGCTGCAGCTGAATGTCTTGGGGGAGCCACAATAACCGACGTCCAAAAGTCCAATGCAGTGAGAGAGCTTTGTTTGTCTGGAGATGTCGAGTTGAGGGGACCCTAGCTCTGAACTGAGACATGTTGGGCTCGGGTGGGCTCACCCTCAACTCTAACCTCTCTCTTGCTTCAAGACTTGCATCCATGCATCAGCCCGGTCTCAAAGCTGTCGGTGCACGAGTTTTCTTTCAACGCTGTTAGCAACGCTGTTAGCCATGGCGTCATTGTTCCCATCGCTGCATTCATGGTGCGACTGAAACCGAGGACGATGGATCTATACATGGCTCCTCTCATACCCAAGCGGGCGTCAACACCGGCAGTCCTGCCTTGAGAATTCACACGGAGTAATCAAAACCAACATCCCGAAAATGTTCTCGTCTTGCATCTTCTTTAGTCTATTGTGGTATCTCCCACGTCATTGGACTGATGATCTGACAGGGGGGCAGACAGGTTACACTTCACCTCTGCCCTTGTTCCTGCCCCTTGATAATGGACATGGTCAGCGAGTATCTTTGCGTCTCCTTGGATAACAACGTTCATCATGGCGACGCCACATGCAAACGACTACCCTGACCGGGGTGTCCTCTGTCGTCTCGTTTTGAACGAAGGGGACGAGATAGCGATACGATACACGCGCTGGATGAGATGGGCGATGACGGATGGTACGACAACGTTGTACGCACCCGTCCTCGAAACGATAAGCTATTTCATCGATACGGTCAAAGGAATCGCTTGCCCCGTTTCCAGTCGGAGAAGCTCTTGCTTGCCCTTCACAAAGGCTGCCGACGACTCATATCCCCAACACCAGGGCCCACTCAAGGATCTCAGTCCCAGCTTCGAACCTCTGCCGGTACACGAGAAGCACAGGCCGAAATAGGCTTGTGAGTCCCTCGCGGGTAGACTATCGAGCTGGGCTTCTCAAGCTAGTGAGATAGGTCGAGAGCTGGCTGGCTGCACCGACGTGATGCTCAAGATAGCCGAGTACCTTCTCCGCGAGTTCTTGGCCCCAGATGCGGAAGGGTCCTTGCTGCTCGGTGAGATAGCAGAGTCTCCCTTCACTGCTTTGGAGCCCGTATGGGGATGCTTCAACGAGTTTCAAGGCGTCAGGTAGGTCGGGTTACTGTCTAACCAGAAGGATTCTTTGCACGACCTGGTCATTTACAACCCCCAAGATGACAAGACTGCCGATGTTGTATACACGGCACAGGATTTCCTCGGGGTTGTCGAGGCTATCTTTGTACACTCATCAAAGCCAGTCAAAGCCGACGAAGCTCTCGACATTTGGTGGAGGACGTTTGCCATCCCTCACCAACCCTCGCATATATTCAAAGTTCGACGTGGGATCCCGCTACCTTCTTAAGTTAAGTATGGCCTGTTGACTCGAGATGGGGAGTCGAGCGGCGTTGGATAGGTCATGGTAGGATCGGAGGTTCTTGGTGTCCATGGGAAGTTGGCGAGCAGTGCGGCTATCTTTGCGGCGAGACGGCATGATCTGTTTCTTACCAACCTGCCCGCAGGTCATTGCACTCTGATATGTACTCAGAAGACTAATATAGCGGCCCTGAAGCTATGCCATCCTTTGCCTGCAATGGACAGAATGTCGTGACCTACTCTGCGAGGGTGTCAGGTCTGGCGGGCGTTTTACTCAGCATCCATGCCCACGAAACCTGGCAAGACACAAGCATGTACGATACCGAGCCTGGCGATGACGATGCTTGGTCGTGTATGCCGATGGATGATGGCGAAGTGATGACTGAAATGTGGGAGGGCATGGAGACAGATGGGTACACCTGGTCCATACGGGTGAGTTTGCCTTCCTAGATCTGTCCAACTTGAGACAACATTAACAATATGACTAGATTGAGACAACCAAGACCCGAACCTTCTGTATAGAAGATGTCTCGCCATGGCCTACCAATTTCTACGACCGCGCTACCTGGAAACTGGCTGCGAAACTGTGTTTTTCACATCTGCAATGCTCCAAGACGTGGTCAAGATAACGCAATGCAGGCATGCTGATAAACTTGGCGTCTCATGTATGCTCTTGATCTATGCTGACGGTCGTCGTGAGAGGTTGGGCGAAGTCTGGCTCGATGGGCTCCAACAGTCCGCCATGGCAGCCGAGCGGGACATGATGTTGCTCGGTTTCAAGCACGATGATGTCCAGACGGAGGATTTCTGCCCTTGTGTGGCCAAGATGGCATTTGAGCCCTTGGGCATGGTCCTTGAGGATGTTCTCGTAGTATCATTGATGGGGCGGTTGGAATAGTGGCGGTCTTGCTACCAGGACTATTTGATCTCTGGGGATCAAAAGTAGTCCGCGGCCGGCTTCCACACCACGGCGCGATTGAATCCAAGATTGAGCTTGACGGGCTTACAAGAGCAGATGAGGGTGTGGGGGTTGCCATGGTGTTCACACGATGGGCTGGAGCCGTACGAGCATGCAAGGCGGTTCGTAAGATGGGGAAAGTTAAAGGTGAAGATAACCCTTTGACACTCTTGACGAAGTCCTTAGGAGCGGGGGATCGCGGTCAGACGTTTTTTATTTTCCCTGATTACAGCAACGAGGGGGTTGCGGCGGCGAGTATGCTGAGGTTGTTGTGTTCCTGTCCAGGCTCGAGAACTGGCTGCTACACGTTCATGAAACTCAAGACAGCTGCCACTATAGATGCGAATCTCTTAGACATTCTTGAATGATGGCTATTGGCCCATTATTCTACAGGCTGGCACGGAGTGAGTACCACCCATCTTGGTTGATTCAAACTCTGAGCACGGAGGGTTTCAAGTTCATGGCACTCAAGTTGGACAATGGCTTGGCTGTTCATGACACAATGACTCTTTGCCATGTGGCCTTGGGCAACGCTTCCAATGCATATGACGGAAGATTCTTCTTCATGTTCTCTGGCGGCGCCCCTTTGCTGTTGTTTTGACCGTATTGTCGGGCTCTCGCTGCCGACTACCGACCTGACAGATTCTCTTGCGGCGCCATAATTGCTATTGGAAACACCATGGTCGAATCCTGGTATTGTTAAGCATGGGTTTCTTGATGTCCTGGGGAAAGGCTTGGAGTGATGGTCTCAATGGTAGCTCCGTCGCAGCGGCGAAGGCAATCCGGGCGAGAGACGGGGATGAGTGAGTGGCACTTGCACGAAAAGTAGAGTCTTGTCTTTGACTCGGATGATAATGCGAGAAGTGGTTACACAGGGTTCAGAGGTGCTTGTGTTCATGTCATACATGGCTTGCGATAGTTTGGGCTGACACGGGGGGTTCCCGTGAACTTGGCAAAGGTTCATGCTCATGCTCATGCTCATGCTCATGCTCATGCTTATGCATCATGGGGAAATGTGGACCTGATTAGAGTCAAGTCATGCTATGCACCTTGTCAAGATTGCGTGTTTTTGTTAATATCTCCAATCTCCAAGTCAGCATACTCTGACCCCGAAATGACGAGACAGTCCCGGAGTTCGAAAAGAAAGGCTGACCACTTGGAGGTTCTCCGTATAAGCCAAAGGCGGTGAGCGATCAAGTCCGCATCCATCCATGGCAGGTGGGGTCATGCACATGTTTTTTTTTGTGGTGTTGGACCCTGCGATCTGACTGGACTTGACCACATTTTTTTCTTCTCTGTCTCTGGGTTCAGGTTTTATTGCTGTTTTGGCTTTTTATTTCAGTTAATGCATTCATGGCTCATGCAGCCGGGGATTATCCGCAAGAGTCGGTGACAAGAGACACTGCCTGCTGCATGTTTGCCATCCATGGATGGCCTCTGTCACCCCTCCATCTCCCCTCAGCTGAAGCTAATTAATAATTAGGGGACTGCTCTAGGCCCTTGCTCGTTTGCCCGCCCGCGACAGCTCCATGTCTAGGGCACTGTCCTCTGGGGAAAGACCTGGCGCGCCGAGGCTGGCAACCCCTCCAGCTGTGCACTAACTTCCATAAGCCCCTAAAATGAGGCCCCTAGAGGGATCGGCCATCCATGGATGTGTGACCCGTGCATTGCTCGTGCTTTTCTCGTGGGAGACTCGTGGTCAGTCGTGGGTTGCCTTGCTTCGGTACCTGCTTGGGGCGGGTAATATTGGGCATCTGTAGGTACTGTACATGGCCGGTACCTAGAATTTTTCTGTTAATACTGGATGTGCCTGACTCGACTTGACCACAGGCGGAAGAAAAAAAACCCTTGCATTGAGTGGCACATTTTGTTTGGATCTATTTCCCAGCCGCTCCTGCCTTGGCGTCGCTAGTCAGCGTGACTGTTGGTCTAGCACTGCGACTGCTTGATTGCTCCTGTCATTGTGGTTGATTGATGCCAGCCCAGCCCAGCCCAGCCCAGCCCAGCCCAGCCCAGCTGCTCCTGCCTCCATGTTCCTGCTGCCGCATTCCGCTGCATCTGGCATGGCACCCATCGGCATCCATCAAGACTGACAGGTTCCAGTTGACGCCGTCAGCCGTGTCTCTGTCCCCCGTTGCTTCTTTCCCGGGCTTGGGTTTCAATAACACACCTGCATCATCACCACCATCACCTTCGTAGCTGCTTCTTACTGGGTCTCGACAGTTTTGAGGCTTCATATTTTTTCTTTTTCAACATCAAAACACCCTCCACGTTATTATCATCCGTCCCCCACAGAACAGAACAGACAAATAGACAGGTCAATCTTTTGGGCCACCGTGAAAAAGTGTGTGTGTGTGTGCGTCGGATGTGTGTGTGTGTTTTTTTTTTATTTGATTTTTTTTTTCTTGGTTCCATACTCCGTCCCGCCGCCGTCTCCAGCTTCCTCCGCCGAGCGACCGAATTGCGTCCCACACAGCCCGCCCGCAGCCCTACTCGGTCCCAATCATATCCTCCGTCTCCCATCTCTTTCTCCCCCCAACCCCTGGACTGGAACCTGAACTGAACCTGGCCTTGCCTTTTGCTCTGCGCACACTCGCACACGGACGGTCCTTGCTTGGTACCTACCGACCTACCTACCTACCTGCTTTCCACCTGCTGCTTTTTGGGCTTCTCTGGACGTCCATCGGGACCTAATATTTCCTTCGGCCACGACAAAAACAGCTTCCTGCTGCTGAAAGCTTCAAAGGGGAAACACTCGGACCTTGGATCCTGCATCACACCGTGGCCCGTGAGCCTCTCGAGACTGTGGACTGTCTACCTAGTCAACTAGCTGGAGTCTTTTTTTTCCCTTTTCCTCTGGGTCTCTTTGGGTCGTCTCTCGATGCCCCGCCATCCGCCGCTCGCCATCCTGATCCAGACTTGACAGATCCTGATTCCGCCTCTTTCCTCCGCCGCTTCGCTCGACTTCCCTTCCTCCCTCTCCCATCGTCCTCGACCTCGACGTCGACTTCTTTCATATCCACTGCATCATGGATATCGCCGCTGTGAGGTCCTTGCTCGCCGCTAGCTTGGACCCTGATGCCGACAACCGGAGGCGCTCTGAGCTTCAGCTAAAACAGGTGCGTCTTTGCGTCCCTCCCGCGTTTGCCTGCGTACATACGGATACGGCCCTCGAGCCACGGCTTGTGCTTCTGCACCCGTTGGATGCCGTGCCCGCCCGCCGAGTCGCCCGGCCGATGCGGATGCCTTTACCTAGATCCTCTCCCTTGATTTGATGCTCTGCGTTTGCTCTGTGTCGACCTCTTTGCAGCTGCCCGCCTTTTGCGACACTCGGCGATCTTGGAGGACAAAGAGGACCTTGCGTGCTGACTTGGGATCCTCCCATCGTCTAGATTGAAGAACAGCCCGGCTTCCTCGAATGCCTGCTTGATATTCTCCAGAACGAACAAGAGGCTAGTGTTCGGCTCTCCAGTATGTTTTCATCCAATCTTCCGTCTTCCCCTCCATACCGCCGCATCCTTGGGGCTCCTCACCAGTACAATCCTGACAAACTCCTCCCAGCCGTTATCTACGTCAAGAACCGGGTCAATCGATCATGGTACAACAACGAGGGGTACTCCACCGAGCCCCCCGCCGCCCTCATCCCCGAAGATGAGAAGGCTCGCGTTAGAGACCGCCTCCTGCCGATTCTTGCTGCCTCCGAGGGCCTCGTCCGCCAGCAGCTCATCCCCGTCCTCCAGCGAATCCTTCAATATGATTTCCCTGCCCGCTGGCCGCGGTTCATGGACTTCACCCTCGAGCTCCTCAACACAAATAACCCCAGTTCCGTCCTCGCTGGTCTGCAATGTTTGTTGGCCATTTGCCGCGCCTTTAGATACAAGTCGACAGACAGCGATGATAGGCAACACTTTGATAAGATTGTCGAGGCCAGCTTCCCCCGCCTGCTGTCCATCTGCAACGAGTTGGTGAACCAGGAGAGCGATGAGGCTGGCGAGATGCTCCACTTGGCATTGAAGGCCTACAAGCATGCGACTTGGGTGCGATCTCTTGGATAATGCTTTGGTATCTTGGAAGAGCGTGGGCTAATCATGATTACAGCTGGAGCTCTCTCCTTTCCTGCGACAGCGCGACGTCAACATTGCCTGGTGCACCGTTTTCCTCCACACCGTATCCAAGGCCTGCCCCGCCAATGCTCTCCAGGGCGACCAGATCGAGCGCGAGAAGCATCACTGGTGGAAGGCCAAGAAGTGGGCGTACTTTAACCTGAACCGCCTGTTCATTCGGTATGATTGCGCTCGCTCTACTATGCCCTGCTGTGTAACTGACGTTTCCCAAGACACGGCAACCCCGCGAGCCCCGGCAAGGGTGACGAGGCCCTCCAGTTCGCCAAGGACTTTATTGCCAACATCGCTCCCGAGATCCTCAAGCACTACCTCCAGGAGATTGAGAAGTGGGTTGCCAAGACCATCTGGCTCAGTCGACCCTGCTTGTCTTACACCCTCGTTTTCCTCGACGAGTCGGTACGACCCAAGGAGATGTGGACTCACCTCAAGGCACATCTGACCAACCTCGTTACTCACTTTGTCTTCCCCGTCCTCTGTCTTACCGAGGAGGACGTTGAGCAGTTCGAGGAGGAGCCCGACGAGTATCTCCACCGAAAGCTCAACTACTTTGAGGAGGCGTCGGCTCCTGATGTCGCTGCCACCAACTTCCTCGTCAACCTCACCAAGAACCGCCGGAAGGAGGTCTTTGAGATTCTCAAGTTCGTCAACGTCGTCGTTACCGAGTACGAGGCCGCTCCCGATGACAAGAAGAACCACATCGCCAAGGAGGGTGCTCTGCGCATGATTGCCACCCTGGCTCCCGTCATCCTGAGCAAGAAGAGTCCCATTGCCGACGAGGTGGAATATTTCCTCGTTCGCTTTGTGTTCCCCGACTTCTCGAGCCAGCAGGGTTACCTCCGTGCGAGGGCTTGCGACACCATCGAGAAGTTTGAGCAGCTCAACTTCCAGGACCAGAACAACCTCCTGACCATCTACCGACACATCCTCGACTGCATGGCTGACCCTGCTCTGCCCGTTCGTGTCACCGCCGCCCTCGCCCTCCAGCCTCTTATCCGCCACGATGTTATCCGAACGAGCATGCAGCAGAACATCCCCACCATTATGCAGCAACTGCTCAAGCTTGCCAACGAGGCCGATATCGATGCTCTCGCCAACGTCATGGAGGATTTCGTCGAGGTCTTTGCTACCGAGCTCACGCCCTTTGCCGTCGCCCTCAGCGAGCAACTCCGAGATACCTACATGCGAATCGTGCGCGAGCTTCTTGAGAAGGAGAGCAAGGTTGGAGATGATGGCGAGCTTTACAACGAGTACGACGACAAGAGCATCACTGCCCTTGGTGTTTTGCAGACCATTGGCACCCTGATCCTCACTCTGGAGAGCACTCCCGATGTTCTCCTTCACATCGAGGCTGTCCTCATGCCAGTTATTAAGGTGACCCTTGAGAACAAGCTCTATGGTACGTATTAGCGTGACCCTTGACGTGATGCATTAGCTGACCAAATTAGATCTGTACAACGAGGTGTTTGAGATTATTGATAGCTGCACCTTCGCTGCCAAGTCAATTTCGCCTACCATGTGGCAGGCGTTTGAGTTGATCCACACCACCTTCAAGGCCGGTGCCGAGTACTACCTGGAGGACATGCTCCCTGCCCTGGACAACTTTGTGCAGTTTGGTGCTCCCCAGCTGGCCCAGAAGCCCGAGTACACCCAGGCCCTTTACTCTATGGTTGCCGATATGTTCACCGAGAGCATCCAAGGTGGAGTTGAGAGGATATGCGCCTGTAAGCTCGCCGAGGCCATGATGCTGAGCCTCCGAGGACAGATTGACTCGTGTGTTGAGGGCTTCATCAACATGGCCATGAACATCCTGGCCAACCAGGATGTCAAGGTCAAGAGCTACCGTATCCACCTGATGGAGATGGTCATCAACTCGATCTACTACAACCCTCTCCTGACTCTTCAGGTCCTTGAGAACAAGGGATGGACAAACCGCTTCTTCAGCCTCTGGTTTGGCAGCATGACTTCGTTCACTCGCGTTCACGACAAGAAGCTGTGCGTCGTGGCCATCTCTGCTCTTCTTAGCCTTGGTCATGAGCAGGTTCCGGCTAGTGTCTCGGTTGGCTGGCCTAGGTTGCTGCAGGGCATAACAGAGCTGTTCCGCACGCTGCCAGCTGCCCAGAAGAGTGAGTCCAATGGATGATTACATCAGAGTGACAGACTAACAAGTGATAGACCGAGAAGAGGCCCTTCGGGACGATATCCACCTCGAGTCTTCGTATGACTATGGTGAGGAGGATGAGTGGGATGATGACGAGGCCAACTGGAACGCCGATGAGGAGGATCCTTCTACCGAGACACCCGAGAGCAAGGATGAGAGCACTGCTTACCTTAACTTCCTCAACGAGGAGGTATGTTGTGAATCCAGCATTTATGGCGAGAATGGGACGCTGACAACACACAGGCTCAGAAGTTCAGCCGAGCTATTGATGACGTTGAGGAGGATGATCTCGGCGAGGATACTGTCCTTCTCGAGTCTCCTCTCGACAAGGTTGAGCCTTACCAGCTCTTCCGTGCCACGTTGATGAGTGCGTAAGCCCTTGATGACTGAAAGATATGTACTGACTGTTTCCAGAAATGCAACAAGAGCAACCCCAATTCTACGCAACCCTGGCCGGACACCTCACGGCCGAGGACCAGAGCGTTATCCAGACCGTCATGGTCAAGGCTGACGAGATCGCTACACAGCAGGCCCAGCTTCTCGCCCAGCAGCAGGCTGTCATGGCCGGCAACGCTGGTGCGCCCAACGGCGGTGCCAGTTAGATGTGGATAACGTTATGTGACAAAGAAGGAGCCAATTAGTTGCGTTTTTTAGTTGTGTTTACCCCCCTATTTTTTACCTATATCCCCTTTCTCTTTCACGTCAGGGCTGGAGTCAAGATTCCCCGGAGAAGCAGAGAAGGAAGAGCAGAGGCGAGACGAGGCGAGGCAAGGATGAGTTGAGCCCGAAGCAAAAGAAAGACACTTAGAAGGTGCAAACAACGATGAACCCACCTGCTGGAGATTCCCTCAAAAGAGTGCCGTGGGTATGATTGGTATGGGGAGATTGGATTGATGTATCGAAAGAGACTTCGACCTCGGGGTCGGGACGCGGCTAGGGATGAGGTGCGCTTCAAGGCATCCCGTTCCCGTCAGGGGAGAAGAGCGTGGAGGGCGAGTTGCATATGGCGATGGAGAAGCATGATGGCGACCTAGCTAGGTAGGGGGGAGCAAGAGGAGGCTGCGACTATCGATTGAGTGATGAATCTGTAGTCCGAACGGCATATCAAATAACCAATAAGTATAGTTCCAAGATGTCTGTCTGTCTTGCTCCGGTGATGGTCTCGCACGTGGTTAATGGTTACGCAACAGTTGATGTTGAGAAATGGCTGTGAGTCAAGGTCTCTGTGCCACTCTTGAGCTATGATACTGTCTCTGTTCAAGACCTACATCCATGATGTGTGAACTTGAAACCGTTACTACATCGGGTTCATACTTCATTTCATTATGAGGGAACTATAGGCTTGATGATGCATGGTTGCTCATTCATCTGTCTTCACTCGCCAAGCTCTATCGCGCCATCCCAGCTGAGTAGGGCAAGTGAGGCAAGCACCAGTCTCCCCATTAACACAGCACGCTTATCTCTTTCTGGTTTTCTCATCCAACCTAGGGCCTTGGGCCCCATCATCGCGCGTTGATGACAATACGCTTCAAGAGGCATTCAGGTCCCGATTATGCATAGACACAGATAAGGACAGAAAGACAGCCACTGGTCAGAACTTCAAAGTCAATTCGGGTCTGGTATCCACCACCAGCATCAAGATGCAAAAAGACAGCCAATTCATCCTTCCCCCAAGGCAGAATGAATGCGAAAACATAGAATCAGCCCTACGAGCGGCTCTCGGGTCCAACCGACGGCAAATCCTTCCCTCGAATTCTGCAGCACGGCAGTCAATAAGCTCATCTCATTTCCTCGAGTCTCGTTCTGGGCTGCAATGATGAAACGGGCCCAAGATAGCGTCACCAACGGCGTCAAGCCCCCTCAGGGACAAGGCGTCCAGCGTCGCGGTGCGGTTGGCCCCGTCCTCGGGCGTGGCGCTGGGTTGTGGCAGGGATATGTCACCTTGAGTGAAGCAATCTTTGCCCAAGCATAGGTTGATGTTTCTAGAGTTGAATGAGACGGGGTATGGGTTTTGAGGCTAGATGCTTACAGGCGGAGCGTGATAATGAGCTTAAGCTTTGTTAATATGATGGATCTTGCCCCGAGGATAGATGCTTGGCTGGTGATCTCGACAATTCCTCTCGTTTTTGATCCCAGTACGAGCCATGATGAGATCGTTTCTACAATTTGGCCTTGTTCTGCTCGCTGCAGCATACGTACACTGCGAGACCGTCTTTCAGCGATCACCTGGTCCAGGACCCAATCGAGATTATCGCGATGATCCCATCTATGAGCTTGGGGAGGAAATCGACCTGATTTGGGAGATGGACTTTGAAGAGGCGAGCATTGTCATCTGGCAGCAAGATGTCGACAAGATCTTTGGCGACAAGTCATACTACGCCGAAGTAATACGTAAGTTTACTCTCAGATTGCTCAGACTGGGTGATACTGATAATAGCTTGGGTAGAAAACACAAAGTCGACGAGATATACCTGGAAGGTCACCTACGATGGCTTCTCCGTTGATCACGACCCAACACTGAGCAACGTCTACTTCTTTCAGCTGTTTGACACGATGGGCAATGCAACGCCTATTACATGTCACTACTTCAACATTACCGATCCCAAGACGACGAGTACAACTTCTGCTGCGACTCCGAGCGCGACAAAGACGGCTTCCAAGACTTTTACAACTCGTACACCTAGCGTGACGGCTGAGAAGGTAGCGGCAACATCGCAGGTGGAAGATAATGGAGAAACGGGTCTTTCGAATGGTGCTATTGCTGGTATTGCCGTCGGAGCTGGGATAGGTGGGATATTACTCGGTGGATTGGGCTTTTTGCTCTGGAGACGTTTTCGAGGTGGTGGAGGTCCAAACACGCCGAGATCACCAGATGACGACAAGGAGGTCGTGTCTGTTTCAAGTCCTTCGGTTGATCCGTATCATCATCCTGGACATCAGTCTTATTATCAGCCGCAGGCCCCGGAAGAGCCTGAGCAGCCTCGAGAGCGGCAGATTGGAGGCTTGCATGAAGCTCCGACTGAACGGTATACATGACAACACTAAGGGTTGAGGTTAGTGACAGGAGCATTGATTCATGAGCTAGCGAATATTTAAATCCATTGAAAGCATATCATGACTCTTTTTTATTATTTTATAGCTTCCCATTCATGACGCTCCCCATACTTTTAGCAGCCGCAGCCAACGCCGTTGCAACAAGCGCATCCAGCTCCCCCTGGCTCTCAATGCCCACACTGATACGAACCAAATGCTCAACGACTCCAAACTCGGCAGCCCATTCCAACTCTGAATAGTGCGTAAACAAGGCATAAGTACAGCAGAGTGTAAAGTTTGTCCCCAGACTAGGTCCCTTGGCCACGTCCAGCGCATCGTGGAAGGCGATGGCGGCCTCTGGTTTCTTGAAGCGTACTGACAAAAGGTATCCATATCCCCTCCCTGGTCGTTTGAATCGTTCGTATATGTCTTGTGTCGGGTCACCCTTGGGATAGTATACTTGATCGACCGAAGAGTGCTGTCTGAGTGTGTCTGCGATGCGTTCCGCGTTTCGGCTGGCGACAATGACTCGTTCTTCAAAGTCAACGCTGTTCTCCTCCATGACTATCACATCCAATGGAAAGTAAGTGTCGATGGAGAGATCATCCAGGACTTTCTTCATGTTGGTAAAGAGCTTTGACTGCGGATTCAGAGCTATACTTCCACCCATAACGTTGCAAGCACCGCTAAACATCTTTGTCAAGCTCGTGCACGCCAAGTCGCACAATGAAATTAGGTCGACATTGACAGATGTAGCGACAGTATCGTCCACGACGAAGAGGAAGTTGTAGTCGTTTGCAAGCTGGTATAGTCTGTCCAGGTCGACGGAGCCGAGGAGTGGGTTTCCGGGGAACTCGGTGTAGAGTGCGTCAAGCTGCATACCCGCTGCCAAGTCTGCCTCGAGGTCGGAGAGGGTCGCGTGGCCGTAGAGTTTGCAGTCGAAGCCGTGGACTTTACTGAGGACCTTGAAGGTATCGACGTAGAGAAAGCTGGAGGTGGAGGTGAGCTGCGCTCGTACAGAAACATGTTAGTGTATCAACTCACCCGAATACTGCAACTTCCAAGGTTTCCTTGCTGCTTCCATAGAGGCAACGAACAGTAGAGGCAGTGTGGCTGATGGCCGACATGCCAGTCGGGTATAGAAAGACAGCGTCTGTTGCGAGCTTGTTGGTTTCTGTGCTGAGCAAGTCGCCAATTCGTCTTTGGAGGGTGATTTTCGCATCTTGTGGCTCTTTCAGTAGCAGGTTAACAACTTTCCTCTTCCCACCATTCAGGAAGGGTGCATGCTCCAGCCAGTATGTTGCTCGTCGAGTCGAAATACCACAGCCGGCGTGCTGCCAGAAAGCTTTGGCCTCGACAACAAGTTCCTGGGGGTGTACCACAGCACAAATATCTCCAGCGCTGAATTCAAGAGCCTCTAGGGGGACAGCGCCAGGGGTACGTATACTGCCGTCGAAAGCGATTTGCACTACGACAACAGGACGGTCCGTGTGAAGTTGCAAGTATTTCCTGCCCATACCGGCCAGATGGCATGCTGGAAAGAGCATAGCCGATCGCCCAGGCTCAGCCAACACCGACATCAGCTCTTTCGTCGCTTCGTCCGCAGGTATTTTGGATGCTATCCATTCGAGGAGTCGCTCCGAGAGTTCGCGGACGATGAGGGGCACGAAGAATCGAGGGTATCCGGTCTTCATCTGGGCGAGAAGCTCAGGGTCCCGCTGGGCCCAGGCTAAGGTGTCTTTCCATGTTGGAAGATAGACGCTGACGGCCTTTGTAGGTTAGTTGGTGAGCATTGGAGATGTTGGGGTTGGCTTACATGTTTGTCGCCGGGTGGGAGGGGACTCCCCAATTGCGCCTTCATTTTTGGGGAAGGAGATATAGGAGAGTGTTTGGAAGCGACGTCCGACGTCAATCATCCATTTCGAGCAGTGGTCGATCTCAGCGCATCTGGAGGCAGCTTGGACGCATCTTGAACAGCTTCACGGGCAAGACAGCACAAGGCCAGAAGCAGTATTTAAAAGATACATGGTCAATTCTTCTTGGTCATCACAGCGAATCTCGCTACGGCACTTGGTGACGTGTTGAATGGCTCTTGCAGATGGTTCAGCACGGGATTTTGAGACATACATGAATAGTCCAAGCCGTGGTGCTTAGCGATGGCTTTCAGCTGTGGTCTAGACAGATGTCAGCACGAAATGGTTGAGGCGCAGGTCACATGCCAAGGGTGATCTTTGTGATGGAGTTGAGCGGTGTTGTAGTAAAGCTGCGACACCAATACACAGAGCTTGCCACTGATTATGGTCAAATACAAGAGCAACACGAGTATTCGCCTTGAAAACGAAATCAAGAGTGAGGCAACTCATCTCTCTAGGGTAACCTTGACAATGACGAAAGATGCAGCATTATCATGGACGAATATGCCAGCTTATGCTAATGCAGGACGGATTGGCAGGGGTAGGATAATAGCTCCGGACCAATCACGTATCGGGAATGGTCTAGCTTGGGGCAAGAAAGCCAGTGGGGTCGGTCTTCCCCGCTTAACGGCGGCTCCCGTGGCTGCTTGCGTCGGACATGACCACCTGCCACCGGGCAGCACCTTCCTCGATCGTCTTGACCATCTTGGACTTGGACACCTTTGACTCACCTTCATCTTGACAAACTTTGTCTTTGACATAATCTTTGAACTTTTGACATTCATAATCTTTGATACCCAATTTTAGCGAATACCCATCCATACACTACCTTTACTCACGTCTATTCTCTTATCCATCGCAGCCATGACTACTCGTTACCGTGTCGAATGTATACACATCCCCTCCCTTATCTCGTCCAGTCACCGTAGGGACACAGATACTGACAGCATTCAGATGCCCTCAAAACGCACCGAAGAGATCAGTTTATCGGTATGTTCTCTACCCATTTCAACACAGAATCCAAACATTTCCCCTCTATCTCACCCATCATCCCCTCCTTCTCCAACTCACCCCTCCACACCTGCCAACCACCATCACCGCCTTTCACCACCCAGCTAACCAGACAACAGAATGGGTCAAAGGCCTCCTCGCAGTTCCTTTCGTTCTTTACTCTCAACCCACCGGTGTCTTTGGAGATGGTCCTAGCGTTGCTCAGATGGCCGACGAGTCTCACCGCCGTTATGCAGAGATTATGCGTGATGTCGAGCTCATGATTGATGACCATAGTAAGAGCTGCCTTTCCAATCTGACTCACCACGCATCTAACCGTGAAAAGTCGCCCGCCAGCAGGGCAACAACCTGCTCCCGTCCAAATTACGGATGCTGGTGCCCACAGCCGGCCCCTTCTTTACCCGTCTCCCGCTTGAGGCAGCCTTCAAGTACCAGGATAGGAAGCGGTACATCTCGTCAAGGAGATTTGTCGCCCCTTCATTCAACGATGTCCGCCAAATCCTAAACTCGGCCCAGGTCATGGCTGTGACCAACGGCGCCCTCCAACTTGCCACGTTTGATGGTGACGTTACTCTGTACGACGATGGGTGCAGTCTCGAGCCGTCCAGCCCCGTAATTCCCCGTCTCCTCGGTAAGATGCATCCCCAACGAGTTTCAAACACAATCTAACCAACCGCAGACCTCCTCCGCAAGAATATCAAGATTGGCATCGTCACAGCTGCCGGGTACACTTCCGCTGACCGCTATTACGAGCGCCTCCACGGTCTACTTGACGCCATTGCGGAGTCAACTGACTTGGATCCGATCCAAAAACAGAACATTATCATCATGGGAGGCGAGGCAAACTATCTGTTTGAGTACTCTCCCTCGTCTCCTTACCGGCTTGCTCCCGTTCCTCGGGAGGAATGGCTGACTCCCGAGATGGCCTCCTGGTCGGATGCGGATATTACGACCCTGTTGGATGTCGCAGAGTCTGCCCTTCGTGACTGTGTCAAGACTATGAACTTGCCAGCCCTGATTATGCGCAAGGATCGGGCTGTCGGCATCATCCCCAAGACACCCGAAAGCCGCATCGCCCGTGAGAGTCTCGAAGAGACTGTGCTTGTTGTCCAACGGATTCTCGAGCTCAGCAGCCTCGGATCCACCGATGAACATCCAGCCAAGCCGCGTCCTTCCTCTTCGCCACCCCTGCCGCCCTCGGTCGTGAGTCAATCTCGGCGAGTGCCGTTCTGCGCCTTCAACGGCGGACGGGATGTGTTTGTCGACATTGGCGACAAGAGCTGGGGCGTCACAGTGTGCCAACAGTGGTTCGGAAGCAGGGAGAGCGGAGGAGTCATCCGCGGCGAGAATACGCTGCACGTAGGCGATCAATTCTTGAGCGCTGGCTCCAATGACTTCAAGGCTCGGAGCGTTGGTACGACGGCCTGGATTGCGAGTCCGGCTGAGACGGTGGAGCTATTGGATGAGCTTGCTGATCTGATGCAGAAGAAGCTATCTTGAGCGTGTTTGCATCGGGTCGTTGCTTGTTTGCTTGTCGCAGGTGGCTGGTGTGGGAAGCCCAGGAGATTGACCGCCGGTCTGTTGCATATTACGAGACACGTCAGTGCCCGATGGAATCTGATGGAATTTGGGTTTCTATTTTGATGAATTTTTGGAGATTGAATCTTTTCAGATAGGGGTCTTGTCGTGAGAGGACTTGTGTTGAGGCGATCTAGGTAGAAGAAGTGTGATTTTGCAAATATAAATACCCCTTGAACTCCAGCCAACTTGGCAACTCTTTTCTTCATCAACCACCAACCTTCTCCTACATCTTTATATATACTGAACCACCATCACTGTGCCCCCATACTCCTCATTCATCTTTATATATACTGAATCACTATCATTGTTCCCCTCATACTTCTCATACCCGGAATTGTCTTTTGCTTCCTGGCCCGTCTAGTTCGTCCACATTGGACCAACTTGCTGCAGACGACCAAGAACAAGGGCATTTCTCCTTCGGTACAACACGCCACAGTATCGGCAGTGTTGAGAAGATGACTTTGACTTCGCTCAAATCACTTGAGCTTCGAAGTCTGGGGTTGGCACGGGAGCGAGAAGCCGAGCTCCCCTCGAGGCTTCCCGACAACCCAGTTGTCCTGTCTCTGTTTCGAAGTGGCACAATTGGTGCGGTCGCTCTGTAAGTAGTAATTCTTCTCGACATTGGATGACCCAAGCTAACCAGGTGTATCTTAGTGGTTCCTCAGCGTTTCTGGGGGAACTTTACGACGGAGAAGAGGAAGACCCGGTGCAGTCTGCTGGAGGCCTCGTTGACTGTTGTGCGTCACGAGGCTTGCGAACCTCAACAGACTCTGATTTGGGTTCGCTTCCTTACGCTGACGACCAGAACATGGCATGTCTGCTGTGGTTTGGCCCAGTGACTCAGGTTCATGAATTGGATGTCACTGGAGCACCCTTCTGTGTCCTGCCTTTGCCCACCAGAACATCGAACATCCTGAGCCCCCGACGTCGAGGATCCATCGTGGTTCCCGAGCAATCTTCATCTCGGTGCCAACCAACATATGGGAGGTCCCCGTTATCTTGGTGCTTCCCATGTCTTGCGGAGTCCTCCAACGTCTTGGGTGTTGATTGCACCCTATGTTTGGCGTTTGGTGCCTGCCTTGGCAGTGCCACGACAGTGCTGGCCCGCACTTCCTCAGGGATCCCGACTGCGTCCGATGTTATGGGTAAGCTCTTCTCTCTGCATCTTCCTCCACCTCTCATGTTGACGAATTTGTAGGCGTTGTCAAGCTTTTGTTGTCTTGGGGCTGCGATTTCTATCATGGACGCTGGCGATGATGCTCTGCGGGCTCCTTCGGGCTGCAGCTCAGGTCAGTAGAATTCCTGCACTGCACCAGACTCCTTCGCCGACCTTTCTCTTGCCCTTGACGCGCAGACTTTTATGATCTCTTTGCTAACTCCTTCGAGCATTCGGAAGCCCTTCGCCCCTCCATTCCAAAAATGGCCGGATCGAGTCTGCCTCAGCATCTCTCCACGATCAGTACCATACTACTTGCTCGGGGGATCGACAAGCTACAACGCATGCCAGATCATGTGAAGCCAGCTAAACTGTCGCGAACCAAACAAGATTCAACCATCATCGACGTAACTCCAACTTGTGAGTCCGGCCCGGGATACGACTTTTTCCCACCATCGGAGCTTTTGGCAGATTGCGACCAAATGTGGAGGATGAATGCCTTCCATACACGGTGGACAAGTCGATGCAGGCCTTCTTCAACTTTTCGTGGCGACCGCGAATGTGCGGCAACTCCTTGTCCACTCCATGGCATCACCAGGTCATGAGAGGTTCCAAATCAGTTCCTCAGGGTTGGAGAAGTTTTTTTCGTTGATATTTCCCCCCCTCCCATTTGGAGCTTTCGAGCTCAAGCATACTACTCCCCGAACTATGAGCCGGTGTTGTACTCAAGTCGAGGAGATGCTGATCACCCGAGTACACTTTTACGCCTCGGCTTTTCAGCCTACTTATCCCATCGGATGACGAACCCCTCGAAACCCCCTATGTGCCCCTTGGTATCATCTAGCTGTCTGCAGCGCTTCTTGTAGCAGCGATGACGATGGTATCGAGATGACGGCAATGATGCAGACACACAATTTGCGCGGTCTCATCCTCGCCCGACTTTGTCATCTTCCAAACGCCACTACGCTCTTTGGCCTTCTGAAGCATGTCGGGCATCCTCTTCTACTCCCCATGTCTGAGGTCCGAGAGGATAAAATTGCTCGCAACGACCCCAAGTTGTGGATTTGTCACTCTGCCCTACTACGCGGTTTTAGCATCATCCGAAGGCGGAATTTATATTCCCGCCCATTCTGGCAACACTGCGGAATCCCCGATAGCATCCTGGTGGTGCCTCTCCGACCAAACCGCAGCAGCTGCTGTCCTCTTCTCTATCAGGATCCCAGTGGCAGGCACACAACACTGCACTTTTGTGTGGCTGGTTGACGCCATATGTACTTGGGAGAGCTCTGAACAACTTGGAAACTCTCAATCCGCTCAACATGAGCGGAGCAAGAAAAGGGGTAAGAAGAAGCCGACCCGAGCAGATTGACGGTATCTACCGGATGTTGGACTTTCCCATTCTATCTACTACCACCACTATGCTCCCGCTCGCCATTCCCTCCTTGCACGAGCAGGAGCGCTACCGGGAGATGGCAATCCTTTGATGCCACCAAGAGACACCAAAAATTCGAGCTTTTGTCAGATTTTGCCAACAACTTGTAGTGTCACAAGTGCTCAGAAGCATTTTGACTTTGCCGCCTACGGCTCGACAATGACCAAGGGTTTGGGGAGAAGTTCTTGCCGCTTCTACTTTCCACATCCTCTCCACGACGAGTCTATCGTTGAACGTGGTTGTAACATGCAACTACGACCGCATCTCCATGGACTATGCGAAGAAGCCCAAGCTGCCGACTGAACGTTGCGGCTTCCTATGGGCTCCCTTGGGTTCCTGTGCCTTTCCAGCGGGATATTCCCCAAACTCGCTCCTCGCTTCCCTGCCTGAGCACCCCAGATGCGGCATGTTCAAGGCTGATATCAGGCTTTTTGAGGGAGTGCATGGGACGCTGCCAAAGCTTTGTGGACTGTCGAGTCACATGCGGCGAAAACCCGCCGAGTCCATAATATGTCGGCGCTGCGTGGGCCTCGGGGTGCTACAACAACCTTCTACTCCTTCCAACCATGATCAGCACATCGCATACGAATCACTATTGTTTCTGGACAACAGCCGAAACTTTGCGCCTTGCGGTCAGACGATGGCCCAAAGGACGAGTGCAACGAGACACTTTGATCGTTGCCTCGATGGCCTTTGACCCATTGGCCGAAAACAACATCCGACTCCGCATTCTCTGGCAACAGGAGATGCTCCATCTCATTGTGCGGCGCTTTGCGCTCAATGATACTAGCTTTTTGGCAACAAACCGAAACGCCTAAGAGTTACGACTTTCTTTGCCTGGCCACATGGGCAAATCGAGAGCAAGGGGCAGCAGAACTCAGTCACCTCAGCCTCCCTCTCTTCGGGAGGATGATCCCCCCAGACACTTGACATCTGAACTAATCAACATCTATCCCAATCATGGGATCCCAGCTATGGGACGCTACACTTCCTGTGCGATTTGGCTGGTAGTTCAAACAATCCTAGCCATGCCCTCCAGGCAACGGGAACAGCTCAAGAGGGAAACGTCCCTTTCGCTGCACACTGTTTCTACTGCCCACGTGCTTGGGTTTATCACAGCACCCAGCTCAATACATCGTTCCATTTGTGGACATATATATACAATCTCACCAAAATTTGTCCCGGCAAGCGGTCGATCCGCGCAGGCTCGGGAAGTATGGCCCCAGCGAACTGTTGGATGCTTGGGCCGCCAGGGCAAGGATCAGGACATGCTACTCTGAGCATATCCGAAACGCCCTCGATAGGAACAGGGAAGACAGGAAGAAGGGCTCGGCGACACGGACCCCAGCTAGAAACCCCTTGGAGCTGATGGACGCGAAGCTGGCTAAAGAGGACCTGCTCGTGTTCGGGAAGAGGAACGCAAGCTTCTCTGCGGTGCACACTCGAAAGACACGATTGTCTACCTTCCTGTTCAGCCTGCCTGTACTCTGCTGTTTGCCAAAGGCCTGCCTTCCAGATGATAGCTGGGGCGGCCTTTGGCTAGCCTCTGAGCTTGAAGTTCTCTCCGCTACGAGCATTGGCTGAGCCTTGCCATGGAGAGGACAAGGAAAACACATTCACCAACATGCGTCACAAGCCAGAGGGATGACTTCCCAGCGGGCCTCTCATGCAACCATTCTACACTATCTCTTTCGCACCCCAATCCGGCGACTATCACAGTTAACGACTGATACCTGCCACGTTCGACGACTGATCCTTGCTGGACATCGATGCGACGATGCCAACCCGTTCAGACTTTCGGGAAAGACTGCTCAACTTATTGACGCACGCGGGCACGCGCCGCCTTGATGACTTCTTGTTGCTGTTGAATGGATTCGGGGCTCGATGTGTGCTTGGGGGGCTCTGCGTGAGTTTCTGAGGGCTGCTCCGCGTTGGGAGGGTCTTCGAGAATGGCATCCCCAGCGGGGGGGTTCACGCCTCTGTCCAGCTACTCACCATGCAATATCGCCTTGGCCAGTCTCCCCCATTGTTGGCACATGAGCCCTTGTGCAACCCGCCTTCTCACCAGACAATGAATCACCTTCTACACGATCCATCTCTATTCTTGGTTCTTCCAAAAACTTGTATCGACACGCATCATGGAGGGAGGAAGTTGACACCAAAGTCGGACTCACATCGGAAGACTTGGACAGCAACAACAGGCGAGAGGCCGCATCTTGCCTTGGCAGTATTGGAGAAAGAGACTCCGTTCACTGCTGGGTGCTCGGTAGACAAACATGCTGCCATCATTGACTGGGAAGAATTCCAATTCCTATGTTTCGCCGTCATGTCAGAGCACAGTCAGAAGGCAAGCAATGTCGTGCTGGCACCGCCAACCTGGTTTTATCGCGACCACCCCATACGACTTTGCCGTCATGTCCATACCAGCACAACAACCACCCAATGACGACAACAACGACAACAATCAATTTTGGCCCTCCACTGTCGTCCTCGAAACACCCCCTGACGACTCCGACCATGTTACTTGGAGGACAGACTCGACTGATGAGCGTCGAGCACCAAAACTGGGACGACACTGGAGTGGGCCAGCGGGAGATACACTTCATTGGAGTGCGAGGGGCCAAAGGTACATCAATCAGCGAGGCGAGATCATTTATTGGAGACAGTCCGCAGGACGAGGATGGGCATGGAGCACAAGTAGCGGCTTTAGTTCCGAGGATGGCGCCGCATGTCGACCTCTACACCGCAAAGTTCAGCGATGCCAAAGAGGCGATTGGTATGGACCAGTACAGGACCGAATCTCAGAGATCGAGGAGAAACAAAGACATCATCAAGATGGAGACATTGGATAATACATCACTTGATACGCAGTATTAGTACCTATGTGGGGGATGGGGGCTCAACGATAGTGTATTTCCTGGTTTCCCACAGGATACTAGATAACAAGGAAACAATGCTAGGCCGTAACACTCTGGCATAGAGATGAAAAGAGAGTACAATAACCGATAAACAATCTGCCCTGATATCATACCGAAATAAAACATTCTTTGGGTAGCCTGCTGAGCGGACCATGCATGTGAAACCCCCTCACGTGGGTAGGTGATTGGAGGTCACGTGGACCCCGACAGCGCATCCCTCGGTACATAGCCCACCAATCAACGATTGCCGCGTAAACCGCTTCAAACTGACGACTAAAGATTGTGGATTAATGAAAAACGAAAAGGAAAGAAAGCAGAGTAGTCCTATTGCCCTTCGTATGCGAACATCCGGTATCATTATCCCGCCCAGCACAACACAACTGAAACAAACTACCTGGTATATCTGCTGCTCCACAACCCGGTGCGCAGCATGCTCATCCACGGATACTGGTTGGGGAACTCTTCGAGAATCTCGCCAATGTAGTCGTGCCAGTCGTCTTGCCAGTCGCAAAGGTGCATGGCCTTGGTGTAGTCCCAGTAGGCGGGATACCAGCCGGCGGCCGCCCAACCCAAGATGACCATGGTGCCGTCTTCGCGGATCAAGATGTTTTTGCGTCGTAGATCATTGTGAGTAAAGACGGACTCGTTGGTCCCTCGGAGAGCAGTTGGGAGGACTTGACGGTAGTAGTCGACCTTGTGCGGTTCAGATCTGCTACAGTAGACCGTGTACTTGTCAATCACAGCTTGGACGAAGTCGGCTTCGGTGTTGAGAACTCCGCGATCTTGGAGAATTGGCTCGTCTGCCCAAAAGATATCATCTCGACACTTGGTCATATTAACGCTCCCAAAGTAGCCCAAGCCCTGTGTCGCGCGCAGCGAGTCGAAGGCTTCGCGCAACCGGGCGCAGACGGCAAGCTTTTGGTCTGGGCTTATTTTATCCCACAGCTCGTCCAGGGTGGTGTGGCCGGAGACATCTTCCATGATGATGTAGGTGATGTTTGTGTGCGGTGTCACCTCGCGCTTGTAGATGGCATAGACTGTAGGTACGGGGACCCCTGGAGCGTTCTGGCGCACGAAAGTCATGTTTTCGCCTTCAGTCGGATCGACATTGGTCCCAAACTTGACGACGTAGCGGGGTCCGACCCGAGCGATGCATCTTGCGCCACGCTTCTTGATGATGTCTGTCGAGTCCTCGATCTCCTCGGGCGTTGGCAGTGGCTCCGGGATGTCACCCTCCGCCAAGCTGAAGACGACCGAGTAAGGATGGATGGAATCCATGTTTGCGATGATGGTGTTGATGAAAGATGGAGGGATGGTTGGGGAAAGTTGTAGGCTGCGACGCGATACTTGAAACCTGAAAGAGGGGGAAAGGCCTGAGGCAGCAATGCTTACTGTTCTGAGACTTTATGGAGGGGGAGGAAACGTGATGGGGAGACGGGGAAAGATGCGAGACATCATGTCGCAGACATTGGGGGCCTTTTGAATATTCCTTCCCAGCTGAAAGAGAACGTTATCTTCCGAGTTAAGCTATTTCTGAGCACACGCCCCCCCTCGTCTAGTGTCCCGGGGCACGAGCCGGGGAGCTTCGGCCGGAGTGGAGATGTTACCGGGCGCGGAGCTTTACTACGTTAGTATAGCTTTCCGGGGCCGGAAACGGGGCGGGTAGGCGTTGACAAGAACGTACTACGTAGTTAATGCTGAATTGAACTATGATGGTATTGATGGAATGGTGTAACGACTGCCAAATTCCTTCCTTGTTCAATCCGTCAACGTCATCTCTTTCGTGAGTCTTCTCTAACAGCAAGAACGAGGCGTTAGTTGAACAGCTTCCAGAGCACGTGACGTTTCAAGTTGACAAGGCAGCAACAGACAGCAGCCCAGCCATCCCACAGCCTCGACCTCTTTTTTTCCACTATTCTGATCTATCAGATTCTTGCTTCACGAAAACAGCATCGCCATCACAAACAAAAACAATGAGTTGGTGTGGCACATGCGACTACACTAATTGGCCACCAAGCCCGGCTGGTCAACCTTGGATACCTCGAACTTGTATTCGGCCCTGTTGCAGACTATGCCGTTTCTCCATCAAGTGCGGCCAAGACATTGTTGCTTGCAAGCCTCGCCTCGCCTCGATTCCTAGTCATACACTCCTATTAACCTTTGGCCCAGTTACCGAGGACGGCCGTCAGTCCCAAACCTTGGCGTTTCCCGTAGACGTCCAAGAAGTCAGGACGCCCGAGCTGGAAGCCGCTTTCCAGGGCTGCTTCGACGACACGTGCGGCCACCACTACGAAAAGGGCGTCGCCTGCCACGCCGGATGCGCTGCCCTGGCTGAGCGCCTCGGCCTGACCCCCGCCGAGTATCTCCCAGCCCTCGCCTACTCGTACGAGCCTTCCAAGTCGGACGAGAGGCGGCGCCTTGAGCTCGTGCGCTTCCGTTTGCAGCAGGCCCTCAAGAGGAACATCGGGAGGTTTCCGACTGAGGTCTGGGACTTTGTGGCCAAGGATCTTGTGTGTGAGTTTGCTACCGTCGCCATCCCTGTTGTCGAGCCAAAGACGGTCTTTACTATTGATGCTTTGGAGGCTGTGTGGGCAACGTACGTCGAAATTGATGGCGTCGAGTACATCAAATCCGTCTCAAATGAACAGAAACCGGGAGGTCGGCTGCTCTGGGACAAACCCAAATCCCCAACCGGGCATGTTTACATCGGAGAAGACCACTTGGGCATCAGTGAGATCACCAACCACCCAGAAGTTACGCAGTCGGCCCAGAGCAAGCAAGTTTCGACTTGGTGGCGTACCGTCACGTTAAAACACTCATCGAAAATTGACTTCAAGACTGACGTGAGTTTCCTTGCTGTGTTCGGTCTTGATCGCTGACGTCTTTCTAGGGCGTCAAGCTTCGAAGCTTTTCGGCGGCGACTCTGCTTCGAGATGTCAAGTGGCCGTACCCTATGACGCCGGATGAGATCAAAGGCATGTACCTTTACTATACCGCGCTCGATCGTGAGGCCAAGATGATCCCCGTGGACATCAATGCACCGGATACGATTGGATACTCTGTCGGCTGGCATTACGGTTGCGTCTACTTTCACGCACACAAGCGAGGCGAGAGTCTGGACTTCTACCATGAACTAGACGCGAGACAATTAGATGAAAATGAGGCAGCGGCAAAGAATCAAGATGAAAGACACGAGCCACATGCCGTCAAGGTGGATCGGATGGCTCGGATGGCAGAGGAGTCGGGTATCGAATGGAGATACCATCCCTTGAATGCAGGAGAAGCCATTGAGCAAGTCTGGATTCGACAGCCTCAAAAGCTCCCAGACGATGACGACGACGATGACGACAGCCCGTTTGGTCCGCGATATCTCTGGTGTGACGCCTCTCACGACGTTGCCATAGGGGTAAGTCGTGTCTGCCTGTTTGGATGTGGTTGAAACTCACACCCTACAAGCTCGTAACAAACCAGTCACGTGTATTGGTATCGGGGATACCATGTGAATTCCCTCAGGATAGGTTTCCGTGGCGATGCATCGCAAAATCCTCGACAGCGTCTCCTATGCGCATCTTTTTCAGCTACTCCCTCGATGGCATCAACTTGTTTGCTGCACCAAAGAGCGGCGTGCCCAAAGGAGAGCCTGTTCACCAAGGTCTCTATGAAGAGGAACCGGACAACTTTTGCTTGTTTGGTTATGACTTTCACACGAGTGCGTCCCTTGAGAATGTCGCACAAGTCGTCCTGTGCAAGGGCACAGAGCAAGGGAAGCCTAGAATCAACGGCCTCCTCTTCCGGTACAAGGACGGCCGCGAGACAACCCTAGGGAGGTTTCGGCTCGACTGCGCCCAGCCACCTCTTTCCTTTGAAGAATCGTCGAAGCTGTACATGGGGATTGGCTTTCACGAATCAGCGCCGGCTGAGCACGTTGCGGAGGTCAGACTCTCGGCCCCCAAGGATCGGGGAGGGTTGAAGTGGAAGAAGTTTTCGGCAAGGGAGCCGATTCAGTGGTCATGGAGGCTAAGTTGGCACAAGGTTTCGACTCCTTCTGAGGAATTTGGGGATGCTCCTGACATTGAGCAAGACAATTGAGAGTGGATTTATGGAAGGGTTGCATGCCGAGGCTCAATGTACAAGGCCTTTTCGTTCATTACAAAGGGATATCCAGCTGTAACCATAGTCCGAGACAGATTGCCGTTCAAAAATGTCGGATGTTACAAGCAATCATCGTAAATACCGTCATCACTACCCGGCAGTCCCTTGATGTTGTCTTCCAGATAGCGTAACTCATGCCGGGAGTCCCCCAACCTGGTAGATACGCGTACGAAACTGTTATCAGCTGAGCTTATCTCTTTTCCTCTTCCGCTCGCCCTTTGTCGTGCTATTCTAGTCTCTCGTATTCTTAGGGTAGCTCTGGCGCCTGGGATCTTGACGCGCGGCAACGGATACACAGCCGGCCCAAGAACCCGACCTACTTCTCCATAAAACATTAGATGCATCGCCATGATCTATATCCATGCAAGTAGAATTGTAAAAAGGTCCAGGTTCATGCGGCCGAGGGGAGTCGGACGCTATTGGTTGATGGTATTGGTGTTGCCGCTGAACCATATTGTCGGGACCAACTGGGCGCTTAACATTATGTAAGTCTGAGTATTTATTCCATGCTGAAGACATTGATTTGAGCTTCTCAGAACATCATCAATCCTTTCTTTTTTATTCTGTACTACTCCACTACCTCAACCATCTTGTCTTGATACCCTTTCTTCTCTTGTCTCAATTCCCTTGTTTCAATACCTTTGCCCACAATGCCTGGTCCTGGAGACTATACTGTTGGCTGGATCTGTGCCGTTGAGACTGAGTATGTCGCTGCGCGAGCTTTTCTCGACGAGATTCACCCAGGGCCGTCCTCTATTTCACGCCATGACAACAATGCCTATACTCTGGGGAAAATCGGCAACCACAACGTTGTCATGGCCGTCGCGCCTGATGGCGAATACGGCATAACCTCTGCTGCAGCCGTTGGCCGGAACATGTTGCACAGCTTCCCAAACATCAGGATTGGACTGATGGTTGGAATAGGCGGCGGCGTGCCCGGTACTAAGAACGACATCGGACTTGGTGACATCGTTGTTAGTGACCCTCGCAACGGATATGGTAGTGTCTCGCCGTACAATTACTGGGATACCATTCAAACGCAGAGCCTTTAGCCGCTTGATCATATCAATCAGCCCCCAGCACTGCTGAGAACAGCAATCAACTACTTGAAGGCCGTCTATCAGACAGAGGGGCATGGTCTTGAGCAGTCCATCTTATGCGCCTTGAGCCTGAAGCCGAGGCTGCAAGCAAAGTACGGACGACCAAGTCCGGCCAGTGACCGGCTCTTCCGTAGTGACTATGTTCACCCCACTGATACCTAAAGACTAGAGGCAATATATATATCTAGCTATGACCCCACCCCTGTCAGGTTATGATTCCAGCATCTCTGAGGGGAATGAAAATTGTACCACACTTGTAGACTCCTTGTTTCGAATCCTAGGTAGCAGTCGGCCCTCTGCCCGAAGACTTTGCCATGTGCGGACTGATCTACTCAGAGGATTACTTCCCTGATGAGTGGTTTAAAAACTATATTTTACTTAAATAAATTATAAAATTAATTAAGGCAAAGTTATATAATATAATATAATTTAAATAAAAATAATATAAGGTATTAGCTTAAAAGAGGGGTAAGAGTTAATTAAATAGATTTAATTAAGTAATTTACTTAATATGGGTTTAATAATATTTATAATAAGGCGGGCCAGGCGGCTGTAGTTAGGTGGTCTGGCGTTATGTTAAACGGTAGTCCTTAAGGCAATAGTAGCCTGCCCTCCGGAGCTATCGCTCCCGCGTACATAGGCTTAATATAATACGCCATTTATACCGATAATATGCTGGATAGGGGACACTGTATGGTTAGATCATAGGTAGACTCCCGTAGCTCAGCACGTCCTGTGCTCCCTTAGGTCTCGAGACTTCTGGGGCCTCACGGCCCCCGGACGAAAAACATACATTCATACATATATAATGAATGATTAAAAGTTTGAAGACATTAAGACACTTACTTCACTTTCATTGAGCCCAATAGAATTTTCTTCATCGGCCTATATCCTTTGCATTACGCGTGTTGTTATGGCTAATTTTGGGTTGATTTCATATTGTGATTTTATCCTTTCGCGACGTACGTAATTGTCCATTAAAGGTGACGACTCTCACCTCCTTCTCCTTCGCTAAAGTCATCAACACATCGTCGAGATGACCTACGAAGTAATCCGGCCACCTGATTTGGCAGAAGAATCTCCGACACCAGCCTGGGGCGTCATAACCGCCGCTCGTCGTCGCCGGCGTCGTATACCCCAGAAGCAGAGACCAGCAAATAGGAACACGACGATGATAGGCAATCCTACCATCAAAAACCACACGGCAGAGTTGCTAATATACTGTTGGCCCGTGTCGGGATTCTCTTGCGCAGGTCTAGTGGTAGGAACGAACTCTGGTGGTTTCCACGACGGAATCAGCTCGTTGTTGGTCAGCGTGGGCGGCTGTGGTGAGAGATGGGTCCTATCAGATGAGGCCCAGGTTATGGCCCAGGCCTGGTGGATTATAAGGGTGCCGTCAGGGGGGATGATGCTGTCATCCTGGTCCAGGGCTGACGCTGTCGCTGTTGTCGCTCCATTTTCCTCGGACTCCTCTGCTTTGCTCTCTATCCATCGTCCGCATTGATTGGGGAGCAGTGTACTAGCAAGCTGGCGCTCCCCTTCGAAGTAACTAAAGGTGTAGCCGCCGAGGCAGGGTCGTTGGTCAGTCTATGTCCTGTTCGCTATTTGAAAAGGGCCCGAGGGACGAACCTTTCGCAACAGTAGGCCGTCGAAGCGATCTCGGAAGAATCTGCAACCCTGCCCATATCCCAATAGGTCCACCCAGTAGGGCAAACTGCTGGACGGAAGCTGAAGCGATTCTTCGCCTGGGTATCGTCCCAGCCGGACGGGTAGCATGACGCGATCGGGTCCGACACCAGAACGGGCACCGTAGAACTCCAATCTTCAGTCCAGATGACGCTTGTTTGGCTCCAGTTCGATTGGCAGCTACGCGGTGGTTCGTATGGCGAAGCGAGGTTGATCCGGCCCGTGGCTGTCGCTGTTGCTGTTGCTGTCACTGAGGACGGTGTGGTGTTGGAAGACATGGTTGCCGTGATTGCAGAGGGACAAAATCCGGGGGTTCCAGGGCGCGCGATGCATTTATCTATCCCTCAGGCATGAGGTCGACCAGCGGCGGCCCTCTCGTCTTTTACAGTGAGTGGGCCGGCCTTGAATTACAACGAGGCCTGAGCTAGGTGTTTTTTTTCTCTCCGAGTTGCAGTGGAGTGTCAACCGACACAGTTTTCAACACGCTACGTCATTGAAACCCAGGTGCGAAATCTACGGATCCTTTTGGATCAACATGTCGTCGACCAACAAGCTCCTGAAACATGGGTCGGCAGCTGCGAACTGTGGCACATGGTCATCATGTGCAAGACAGTGGAGGCCTCTCTATTGTGTCATGCTGTAGGTTATTGTGGCCAGTAGTGCTCATTTGGCCATCTGCACGCTGCAGATTCTGTTGCTATTGTTCACAAAAGAGGTCATCAGGTACCACAACAAAGGACATAGTCATCGACACATTCCGGCATTAAAATCCAATACTATACCGGTAAAACGCCGTAACCTAGAATTAGCTTCGGCGGATGCTGCCACGAGGTTATTTTCGCCTTCTTGTAGAAACAACATAACCGGGACAATCAATACACCACGGCCAATAAGACTCAACATCCCTCCTGGAATCATGGCCAGCATCACGACCAACAAACAACTCATCGGCTGTTGCACAAAGCATTGTGCATCCCTTTTGTCACTCTTTTTTCCCACATTCTTTTGACACTCCAACACCGAATTTGACGTGCTCTCTCTCTACACTCTTTTGACACACTTTCGTCATCCTTTTTACGCTCACTATGGCGTCTAAGAAGCCATGGAGTGCCTTCGCCCTGGCGATGGTGCTCATGGCCAACTTGTTGCCACTGGTAGCAGCGCTCCCGAATCTCCGTATCATGCCCCTCGGAGATTCTATCACTAAAGGGAGTGGCTCCAATGGTATTGTTGGTTACCGAGGCCCCCTCCGTCGCAAACTCCTGAGCCAAGGCAAGGATGATGGAATTACGGTCGACATGATTGGCAGTCTTACAGACGGCAATATGCCTGACAATAACCACGAGGGCCATAGTGGAAGGTACCTGGACGAGATCAACACGTACTGGAAACTATCCATCAAAGCTCGCCCCAACTTGGTTCTTATCCATGCCGGTATAAACAACATGGATAAGAACCGTGACCTTGATATTGCCCTCGATATCTACCGGAATATGATCGACGGCATCTTTACTGAAGCCCCAGAGGTCACTATCCTTGTTGCTCCTGTCATCTGGGCCAACAAGCCGGCTATGCAAGTCAACAGCGACAACTTCAACCCGCAGCTCGAGGCCCTGATCAAGTTGAGGCAGCAGCAAGGAAAGCGTATCCTCCCTGTGCCTATTGATATCGGCCCTGGTGACCTTTGGGATGAGAAGCACCCTAACGATAAGGGCTACGAGAAGATAGCTAATGCTTGGCTTAATGCTATCCTGGAAGCCGACTCTCGCGGATATTTGGAAAAGCCCGTCGCCATGACCGACGATGACGAGGATGATGATGACAATGACACCAATAAATGTACCTCAGCCCCCAAGACATACAGTAAGAAGCAGATTGATCGTGTCGGCGAGTACATGGATTCGGAAAAAATGGAGTGGACAAATTCGGCCATCGTGGGCGTGCAATACGTCACCATCGTCAACCTCACTCCACACAAGTTCATTTACGACATCGATGGCTCCAACTCTTACCAGATGACCAACTGGGACTTTGCCGACATCCCTCAGGGCAAGGCGCGGCAGAACGCCGTGGAATACTCGTCCACGGCGGGGAGCAAGGTGGACAGCAAGGGAGAGGCCTATTACAGCATTGATGGTACACGCGACAAATTTGTGGTACGCGTTACCAACCACGAGTTCGCACTCTACCCCAAACGGATTGTTTTCGACCTGAACGACATGGGAGCTGGTTCGAGAGAGTATAACTGCCCCCAGGTGGAAACACCTGTCACTCTTGTCATTACGGGCAGCGCCGACTACGAACATGGGTACACTATATCACTAGTACACGGTGGAGCAGGCTGGATGCAGAGCATCAAGGACGTTATCAAAGACCGCCGCCTGAATGAGATTGTAATTCCAGGAACTCACGATGCCGGCATGAGCAGGATCAGCAACGGCTTGCTATCTTATATGCCATAATATGCATCTTGGCCTTTGTTATCCGACGTCCCCTTCCGCTCTGTTAGCGTCTAGGCATGCCTTGCCCTCTTCCGCGCAAGGCGCGCTAGGCGGCACCGGGAGGGAGTGCGCCCGGTACCTATGGCTTCGCACTTTCTTTATTCTGGATCGTTTTATCTATACTTAGAATTAGGTAACTAGCCTCAGTGGTAGCTTAAAGGGCGTTGATCTTGACTAGCGCTGGCTCCTATATAAAGCTGTCTAATATATTAGCGACGCTTTTATATTTAAAATCCACGCCGGCTTAAATATTGCCCTTATGATGCTCAATACATAGTTTATTAAGGATCTCTATTGCATTAAAACCCGCGTTATTATATAGTTAGCGCGAGATAATCTTAAGTGCCTTAGCGAAGCTCTTAATAATAGCTTGTCGCTTGTCCTAAATATAGTCGGCGTAGTAGCTGAGATAAGATAATACCTCTATCTCGTAGGCGCTGCTGCCGCTAATGATAGTATGGTTAAGGATAATGCGCTTTATAATTATAATAGCATTATATAATAAGCGCTTTACCTCTGCGATAAATTACTCTGCGCCGCCGCGTAATACTAGGGTACATGTTTTAGCCTTAAAATAATCTTTAAAGAAATTAAACCGCTTGCTATTAATATAATATTCCTTAAACTTGCTATATCTTCTAAGGTATTTAGGAAGGATATTAAAACATATTGACTAGAGGATGGCGCTAATAGCCTAAATAATACGTTTTATATCCTTGTTAGTAATACAACTAGTATAGAAAATATCCTAGTCGGCGAAAAATTGCGTTGTTAGATCGCTGATAGGTAGCTTGCTAAGAATTATCTTAGTACTTATTTAATAGATAGAGTCAAGCTTCTTATAGATAATTTGCTATTCCGTATTGATGATAGCTTAATATTTAGATACCTGCTTGACTCATACCTATATATTATTCTTCTCGGCCTTGAGCTCGAGCTCTATGTTAAGGTATATAATCTTAGGCTAGAGGAATGTCTTTAGCTGTTATTTAAAGCCGGTATATGAGAAGGTCTTCTTAAATGCTACGCCGTTAATAAATAGCGATTCGGTTAATAAGCCGCCTGGGATCTTCTTAACTCTGATTAGCCTCTCATTAAGATCTTCCTAATCTAGAGTAAGGACAGCGTTAATAGCTATTATAATTATTAGGACGGTTAAAGAGGCGATAGAGAGGGGTATACTCTTAGTAAAAAAGTCTATATTGCGCTTGATTAACTTGCTCATTCTGGTAGTAGCTGTTAGCTTGCTGAGGGTCTCTCTCTTATCTACTATGCTCGTATTAATTGCGATCTCCTTAATCTTATTAACTGCTATTGCTAAAGCTTTCCTTAGGCCCTTAATAATAGTCTGCGAGTTAATCCCTTATTTAATATAGTCTTTTATCTCTTTGAGTATGCTGCTAGCTAGTATTACTATAGAGGTCGTCTTGTCTTTAACTTCCGCATCCTATGACCTCGCAATATCGACGAGGATCTATGCCGCAGGGTGGATAATTTCTAGAAGCTTTATAATATTAGTTAGGCCCGAAGGAAACGGAGAGCTTAGGGCGCGTACCTTTATTACTGTCGCATTATTATTTATAATAGTTTGCTTGCTGTTCTTATCTACTATTAATAGATTATTTCTATAGGGACTAAGAGTGGACTTTAGGGTCGCTTATATAGTAAGGCATGCGTTAATATTAGAAATAATCTAGCCTTTACCCTAGGAAGTATCTATTCTTAGCGGGGTCGAGTTAGCGCGTATGCTAAGCTTACTATAGAGGCGTATTAACCCTCCTTAAGGATGATAATAGTTAGTATTTAACTGCCGAAGGATATTTTAAAGTATTAGCGAGTTAGGAAAGTTTAATCTAGCGCTTCCATAGCTAAGGTTAGAGAAACTATTACTTGCCCCTTAGAAAGATTTTTTAGGAGCTCTATAGTAACTAGTACCTAGCCCCTCTTTAGGCATAATCTTTTATATAGTTATTCTTAGATTATTCCTCTAAGCTTATTAATAAACCTATAATATATATAAATATTTATAGGGCCCTACTTATTAAAGATCCTAGAAAAATAAATTTAATTATATTTATGTTTTTAATAAATATTAATTAGATAGTAAAAACCAAAGCTATATAGGTCAAAAACTCTTAGGTCTAAACACATAACCCTAACCCTAATCCCTAGTTATCCTATAACTAAAATCTCTTTTACTATATTTCTTATCCGCTATAAACCTACCTACGCTAGAACTTATAAGCTATTAGCTAGCTATTAGGGGTAGTGCTAATATACCTATTCTAACCTATAAGTTAGAAACCAGGCCTAGAGTAATTATTATTATAGTAATATAATTTAGATTTAATAAGATCTATAGTCTCGTTATAGTAAGGGCATAGAATTAATACTATTATAAAGGTTAAGGAAAATACGAGGTAGTTATAGAGAAACTTAATAATATAAACTAGCTATATAAAGTATATTAAGAACTTAGTTTATTATCTAGGGGAAAGTTTAAGTTAAAAAAGACTTATATAAAGTTATATTAGCTCTTTCGCTAGATAGATACATTAAATATATATAATGCGAGTAATAATAAAAGGAATATTATAATAAAGATAATACTTTATATATAAAGCTAGTATATAGTTAGGCGCTATATAGTCCTTAGCGAGGCCTCGCGCCGAGCGACTAATAGCTTTCTCTAATATATATTTCTAAAAAAGAGTATAAAGAGTCGAATTCTATAGGTATTTATTAGGCGCTTCTTAGTAATAATAAGCCTAGGTTTAAGATAAGTATATCGCCCGGGCTAATAGATATAGGTCAAGGTATTAGTAATAATATTATAGAGCGCGCCCGAATATAAATTAAGTAAAGTAGCTTATGTCCTTAGGCTAACTAGAGCTAGCCTCCTCTAAGTGCTTTATCGCCCCTAGAACAAATAGGCTACTTTACCCGCTAGAATATCCTTAAAGGCCTATTAATAGGCCCTATTAGTAGTTGCCCGTGCTATTAATACCTATTAAATTATTTTACTTTATTAAGCTATCTTAATTATAACTAACTTATTATATTAGTCCTAGTTAATAGCAGTAGCAGCTCTAGTACTAATTAGACATAGCTACTAATTAGGACCATAGCCTAGTGGGATCTATTATTACTATTATATATATAAGCCCTAGATTACTAGATAGGAATATATAGACTTATAGCTTAATATAGATAGCTTTATATACTTAACTAAGCCTATCTTATATATTAAATTAAAGATAATAGTTATACTCGGGAGGTATTTTATTAAATAGAGTTAGGTAATAATTTATTATTTATATATATATATATTTTATTAAGTGCCCTAGAATTCTATATCTTAGAAGAATACGAGTACTTATAATTAAAGCTATGTATCCCTAGGGAAAACCCTCGCAGGAGAAAAACCTAAGGCGGCTAGAAAGCTGCTCTGTAGATGGGGCAGTTGCCTCGTTCCATAGTCTCTAGTTAAGCTTTATACCGTTTTGACCTAGTGATTGTGTCCAGTGGTCTCAGCAAGTAAGACTAATCGTCGAGGCCTGCTTGTGACCCGGGCGGCAGCCGAGGCTATAGAAGAAAGAGGCCCTCTCGGTAGTATATAACTATAGAGGTCGGTTATGTACCTCTGAGGGTTTGGACGCTCTCTGATTTAGATACGCTCCCGATGCGTGCTACCCTAGGACGGGGCATAGTAGCTAACTAATAATAGCAATAATAATAATAACGATAATAATAATAAAAGTCCTTATTTAATACTAAACCTAACCCTAACTATTAGTTATAGACATAGCTTAATTATATTAATAAGTATTAAAATATTAAGTAATATTATTAAATTATTATGAAAACTATTATTAATATTATTATTATTACTTATTTATATAAGCTAAGATATATATTTTATATTTAATTAAATAAATTTAATATATTAAATTTATAAAAAAAAAATTTATTAAATTTAAACTTTTATAATATAATAATTTCTATAGCTTAATTATTATTATTTAACTTTATTTTACTTAAAAAGGGAATTAAAATATCTTAATTAAAATCTTAATAAGTTTAATAATAAAGGCTTTATACCTAAAGCCTAAGGTCTTAATAGGCTTAAATTAATAAGGTTTATCTATATAATTATTAATACCTTTAATAATAGCTCTATTCGCAATAAATGAATTATATCTTAACTAGCTAAAGAGGTTAATATCCTCTTCCCATAGTAGCTCTCCCCTTTATTATTAACCTTCTAATTATCTTTATAATTCTCAATTACTTAAAGAGGTATAAATCGCTTCTATTATCCTCATAAGAGAAGGTTTAACTATAACTAATAACCATAACTAATAACTATAACTAATAACTATAACTAACTAGTTAACTAATTAACGACTGGCTAACTAGTTAATAATATAAAAAAGATTATAATAGCCTTTTATAGAGACCTCTAACCAAACGATTATAGCAGCGCGCCAATACCTATCAGCAGGCCTTCTTATATAATTAAGATAACCTTGCCGAAGAGGTCTGTAAGCTTCGCAAAGGCGCAAAAAGCACCCATAACAGGCTACGAGAGATAACTATAGCTTAATTATAATTACTTTTACTTATAAAAAAAGCTATTAATTTAAATCTAGCTAAAAGACTTTTTTTTTACCTTATATAACTTTATAAAAAGATATATAAGCTAGGGATTAAATTTATAACTTATATATTAATTAAAGCCTTTAATTATTATATTAGTAGCTATTAATTATATTAATTTACTATTAAAATTATTATTAAGATTATTATTATTACTTATTTATATAGACTAAGATATATATATTTTATATTTAATTTTTAATTAATTAAAAATTATAAAAATAATTAAAAGATTAATATTAAAATAAAGAATTATTATATTAAAGAATTAAAAGCTTTTTAATTAATTAAAAGATAATTTATTTATTATAAATAAGATTATTTTTAATATATTATTAAAGCTATTAATAATAAGATTTAAAACCTTATTAATTTAAATATATTAAACCTCTTAGCTTTAAGTATAAAGCCTTTATTATAATAATTATTAAGACTTTAATAATAATATTTAATCCCTATTTTAAGTAATATAAATTTAATATATAAAATTAATTATTTATATTAAAATTAAATAAAAATAAAAAGCTAAGTAAAAAAAATTATAATTTAAAATTATAAGTTTTTTCTTTTAAATTTAATTAACTATATACTTATTTTAGTACTTTAAATAGTATTAGACTAAATATTCTTTACTATAGCTTCCTATTTATATTCCCCGCCTGCCTATCTTTGTCTCTATTTTCCTCTGTTTACTACTGTCCCATGGCCGCTCGCAACGCCCAAATCCGAGATTGGATAAATACAGGAAAACATGTGATCTTGACGGATTACGAACATGCTGCTAGCGACCCATCAGCATCGAATTCGGGCGACTTTGACGAAACCGATGCCAACAGTGTTTCGGGTGATGGCAGCTCCGTCGTGTCCTCCACGGCCTCCACGGCTGCGGCGCCCATAGTCGAGAAGCTTCTCGCTTCTGACAACGATGCCCTCGTCCCAAAACAAGCAGAAGTCGATATTGTGTTCCAGAAAGGCAAAGATCTATGGTCTAAACTGGTCACGTCTTCTCGATCTCTACCTGCAACTTCCCTATCGGCAGGCCTCAATGACCCTTCCATAATATTGAAAGACGTCCCCGCACTACCCAAAGCTCTTCCAAGATGCGGCATGCTCGTTGGGCGGCCATTCTGGCATGTACTAGGCATTTCGATCGACCGAGACGATGAGAAACAGAACGAGGATTTCGATTTTCAACATATACATGGCGCGCGCAAACACTTCTGTCTATCCTATCCGACACCAGTTGAGTGTCGCGTGTCCCCCCAAGTCGCCATCGGCAATGACAGCGCTTCCAGAGCTCCGGGGGACGGACCTTACCCACCGGGCCTCCTGCTCTTGACACTCTGTTGGTCCTATGTTTTTTCTGTGCGGTTTTGGGAGCTTCAGGGCAAACAGGTTCTGTACACTTCGCATGCGCTGCAACCCCGGTCGAACGGGAACATCCGCAACCGTCGAGGCCGCATCAGCATATACCTGGGAGCTTCCGCGTCCCAAGGCCTCATGAGATGGCTGTGTGCTCTGCTCGCGCCGAAACCTGGATGGTCGGTTCAAGGCGGAGGCTATGCGCCATGGACAGCATTCTATTCCGGAGGCGTTGAATTCACGATCATTTCCGACGAAGCTACGACGTTCACGCCAAATGGCCAAGCGCCAAGTTCTGCTGAAGCTATAGAGCTTCTCGTAGAACTCGGTTGCTTATACGGATTCGACTCTGCTCAGCACAGTGGCCGCAGGAATGATCCGTTATCGCCAATCGTCGCCGGATTTGTGGCTGTTCTCGCCTTACCGTTCTACCGCGTCATGGAGCTACAACCACAGTTTCTCGCACCAACATTGCGACTAAATCCAACCGAGGTCCGTCCAGGCCCGATACGACAGTATCTCGCCGATCTTCGATATTACATGACGCTTAGCATGCACCCGATGTCGGTTGGATCAATAATTTGGAGCATCTTCTGGCAACCAGATGTGGAGTGTAACGTTGTTAGTCCTTGGCTGAGCTCAACTCTCAGCGAGTTGCGCCCACTTATCGACTCTGGAAACCTGGATATTCTTGCAAAGACCTTTGCACTCCGTCGACCACGAGTTGCTCTATGGTGGCTGGGCATCTTTCTTCTGGGAAGCCCTGCAATCCCCGGCTTAATAGTGCGCTACCTGGAGACGTCGGAAGAGCGTTGGGGATATGCAACCATGGCATCACCTGATACGACTGTTTCTTCGTGGACTGGGTCACCACAGTCTTTCTTAGATGAAGGAACATCACGTGCATACATTGACTTGAACGAGTCGGTATCTAAGGCAGATCTCCTGCGATGTCGGTACAATCTGCGTCTACAAGATACAAGCTCGGCGCTTTTGTCCTGGCAGCCCTTCGGGGTCACCCCGAAGACTATGATAGAGCCTGACCTCTGGCCTTGGCTGGAGTGTCGTTTCGATAGAACATACGAGCACTGGGTCTGGTACATCAAGAAGGGGGAGACAGTCGTCCGTCAGGACGTCCAGGAAGGATTCAGGAAGGACACGGGCAGGTTTGTTGAGGCAGTGACCGACTGCTTGGATGTGATTCTCTTGGATGGGGTTGCGGAACGCAGCACGAACGCGAATTTGGAACCTTCACGGGCAGCTACGCTGCGAATGATCAACTACTGCATGGAAGATATGGCTGGCGATCGAGATACAGAGATATTAATTATTCCGGGCGCCAGAATCCATCCCTGGCTGAAGGGCTGGAGGGGACTGGAAGGATAAAACAGTCTGCCTCAAAGACGGACTCGGACTACCGGCTATCGTGATGGTCTGCAAGCAGCGTGAGATCGGTACCAGAGAGTATCATCGCTAGATTATATCGTTTGATGATACATCCGCAGTGGATCACGAGGTCCCGAGCCCATTTGCGTAACCATCTTTAGAACCCTTAGATCTTACTACTATAAAATTAGCGTCTGTCTGCCCCTGGCTCTCGCGCGGCTGTTCCTGAGCGAATTGCAGCAACCCACTTGGGCTGATGTAGGCACCAGGCAGCTGGCCCAGCGATATTGCCTTCACTTCAGTCTTTCGGAAGCTGTGAGAGCATTATACGGCAAACACTAGGAAACCTAGAGCATAACAAAGCCCAGAGCATAGCCTCTAATTTCCGAGATTTCGGAGTGCCTTCCTTCTGCTATCGACCTTTTTTCCAAGGTGTACATAGCTGTCGATGCTCTAGATGAGCTTCAAGTATCAGGTGGCCGTCGACCCAGGTTCCTCAAAAACCTACTTGCGCTGTAGAGAAGCACAGGATTTAACCTCCTAGTGACATCCAGGCACATTCCAGACATACAGAATTAGTTTAAAGAGGCCGCAGTCTACGATATCGCCGCGAACGAGGAGGATGTCCAGAGTTGTGTCGACGACCAACTGCAGTACATGCAAGACTTTGTGCAGAATGATTCCAAATTGTAAAACAATATCAAAAGAACCATCTCTGAGGCGCATAGCGGAATGTCGGTACCGGTTCTTCTGAAATCCTATGATATGGGAGGCTAATTGTGATGCCAGGTTCCGTGTCGCTGTCTCTCATCTCACAATCCTGGCCGAGCAGCCTACGGTCGGAGACTTGGAGCTCGCACTACTGGATCTGCCTCGCGGTTTCTGCGATATTTATGGCTAATCTACTAAAAGAAGAGACCGACAAAGCACGGCGTTTCGGAAGCTGGCTAAAAAGGTCCTTGCTTGTGTAGCCTTCGCGAGACGGCCCGTCAACGTCTTAGAGCTCCTCTGCGCCGTCGCAGATCGACCAGGGACACAAGATATCGACGAAAGGCTATTACCGTCCGTTGATACAATTGTGTCGGTTTCCGAGGGCTTGCTATCCTACGACCCTGAGTCTAGGGAACTCAGCCTGGTTCACCACACACTCCAAGGGTACCTCGAACATCAGGCCGTAGTGATAGGTTGGTTCCAAGAGGCTCCAAAGAGTGTGGCAAATGGTTCCATTGCTGGCTTTAACTTTGGAGACTTCAGAAGTTGGGGGTTTGGCGGTGTGGCTCAGCCGTTCACGGCGAATCAACTCTTGGGCTATGTCGCCAACAGCTGGGATGAAGCTCGTGGGAGTGAGAAAGGGCGCCAAAATTCGGACGCTTCTTTCATAGGAGAAGCGAACAGCGTCAAAATAGAGGCTGGGAGTGATACCGCGTTGGATAGAAATATGTCGTGGTTGTTGCTTTCTCGTAGAAGCTATTGACTGATGGAAGGGAAAGGGATCGCTCACAATTCCTGTTTATCGTGGCCCTTTCATGGGACGGTGATTTTGGCATCAATCATTCTTATTATACAAGGTGTTTCTATGGTTATCAATACAATTCATGCCTGCCGTCATGCAGAAATCATGAATAATAATACAACTGCTAGGTCAAGACTCCTGCACGCTAGAGGTCTGTTGTCCCTCGTCATGACCGTGGGCCATCATCTCGCAGCTTTGCTCGGGGCACCTTCTCATCAAATGCCCCCCGACTCTTCTATTACCTCATCCAGCTCTTTATAGAATAATAATAACTCTTCCGGTAGAAAGCCATGAAAGTCAGACATATCATCCTCGGTGTCTCTTGGCGATGGCACTGTCGTTGTGTCCTCATCCGTGTAGACCTCCGGACGCAAAGCCGGGCTACTGAATGCCTGGAATACCAGAGCCAGAGAGCCCGTCGGACTGCTGCGTGCCTCATGGAAAGGGGGCCTCGGATATCTGGTTCCCTGGAACGCCAGAGCAAGAGAACCGGTGGGATTACTGTGTTCCCCGTGAAAGTGGACGCCCGGATACTCAATTTTGATGCCCCAATCTGCCTTTGTATCCCCCCTGGTGGAAAGAATTTCTCTCTCCAACTCTAGGGCGCCTTGGTTCTCTTCGAGTATAGCCACAGCAGGTTCGGATACGCCCCGTTCCTCTTGGGGCGATTGAGTGCGTTGACCCGGTTGTGAGGAGCTGTCTTCAGAATCCGATGTTGTTGGTGTGTCAGGATATTCAAATGTGCGTCCCCGAGGGGGCAAGAACTCGTCCAGTATTGAGCAAAGTCCGTCGTCAGGCGCCTCTGCATCCTTTTCGTCCTTGATATCGTCTTGACCAGACTGGAGTAGACTGCTCCCGTCGACTTCTCGCCTCTTCATCTCGCAGGCAGGACAGAGGAAGAAGCATCGGGCGCACTTGACCTCGTTCCTAGCGAGATTGCGGTATCCCAGGAAGCCGTCTATTGTATAGCCAGCCTTGAGGTCGCGTGCGTATCTAGTACACAGCTTCAAGTCAGGGTTGGCGCCGAGGCAAGCTCCTGAGCCACACCAGAGCTCAAATGACGACCATCCTGGTCGTCTCGCCGAGACGATGTCGGCCAAAGTTGACTCGCATCCTTTGCAGTAGAATTGGTCGAGGAAGCCTTTGGAGCTGGCTAATAAGGAGTGTAAGTCAATTGTTTGGGTGCGTCGTCCAAGTGAGGGGACATACCTAGGTCTATCTGGGAAGTGTAGAGTTGTTCTGATGGGAACTGAGGGCCTGTTAGTCAAGGCCTTGTTTGTACTCTAGAGCTTAAATACCTCTTGACAAAGTGACATGTCGATTGCGCCGCGGCAAGGTAGCCCCCCTACGCCATGGCAAAGGTGCCATTCGCTGGTGTTTAGTTGCAGCTGGCTCAGCTGTTCCATCGAAGGTATATGTTTCCCAATGCTGACAGCTGTCTTGCCGGCTGGACTGTGAGGGAGAATTTCTCTTTGCACTGGCTTCCTCATGGCCATAAACGACCCCCACACGCTGGCCTTTATTGACGGAGAAGGACTTTGTGGTGTTGTGGGAGGAGTCAAGGATGGTGTTGGTGGTAAAGGTCGGTTTGGAGGCGGCGAGGGGAATTTGAGGTTGACGGCCGAGGCCGGTTGCTTATCAGCATCGTTGCCGTCGCCAAATGTGTAGTGTTGAGGGTTGGATAGATCGTTGCAGAAGATGGGCAGGGCCACAAACGACATTGTCGACATGTTGCCCAGGCTGCGCGCCGAGAGCTTCGAGAGCAGCGAAAGGGCACGCATGTTCAGCACTGAGGACCGATAGGAAAAGACTTCGTCAACACCGCTCGGGACCCTTCGATAGGGCCTGGATGCTTCCAGCGTCTCTTCAAAGGCAAATCGGGAGCTGAGGGCGTCGCTTTGGGGACTGGGGATGGCGATGGATTCGGGCCTCTTGGAAGGCGCTGGTCTGATGGTGGATGCATCGTCGCTTTGGACGCTTCGAACGCTCGGGATAGATTCGATGCTTCTGCCCTTAAGATGGGCGACGTTTGGGGCGATTCTCTTGCAAATCTCCGATAGGTCGGCAATGGCTTCACGGGCTTCAATGAGGGACTCGCTAGATCATGTTAACATTAGTCGACTCAAATCGAATCTCAGGTCAAGAAAGGCACAGACTGTTGCATTATGGTAAGCATCAAATTCAGCGACGCTTGAGCATCTCGCACACGCTGGGCTAGCTGGTTGATTCGCCTGTCTTTCATGGCCCATTCCAGTCGACCACTCATATCCAGGCCCTGCAGCCGGGGATCAGAGAGCGGCCTCAACAGGTTCTCGAGTTGATCGAGCGACGTAACGCAACCGAGAAAAACATTCTGGGCGTCATCGAGGGAGAAGTGGATGCCCCTCTGGGTGTCAAGTCTCTGCGAGTCGAAGAGCTGCTGGAAGCGTATCATGGTGAGACGCATCATCGAGACGTCGCGGAGTGTCGATACAGCGAGGTCGGGGGCATCGTTGACCCTCGAGGCCGTCGAGATGGCCTTGTCGAGGGCCTTGACGATCTCGGATGTGACCGAGATGCCGCCCGCGACGGCTCCAAAGATGGAGAGCGGATCCATTGCACTTGACAGTAAGGTGTTTCCATCGTGGGGGAGACTTCACTCTTCTTTTCTACGTTTTCTACATGAGCTGAGAGTTTGTGGTTCGCCCAAGTTCGCCTTGCCTTTTCTCAGCTCGAGGCCAACAGTTACCTATCGATCTCCCCACAGACAAGGATGGCACAGATGTTTATACAGTGGCTGACGTTCCCAAGCCCCTATCGACAGCGAAGAAAAAGCAAATAAACCTACAAACACGCGCCCTGAAACGCGCATCCGACAGTATAAGGCATTCTCATCGATTCGCAAGGTGGCCAAGCTGCAGCAATAGGGGAAGTCTCATCTTAATTGCGGAGCATGTATGGCTGTATGCATCCGTGTGCAAACCGGAAATGAAGCCGGGCAAACAACGTTCATCTCATCGTGCTGACACGTTCCTAGTTTGATGCTTCCTCGATATGAAACTCATCTACTTTGGATGCGCCTTGGCGGGGGCCATGCAGGCAGGCAGACTACCTAAGAATGCACATAGATTAGTTGTCAATAACAATACAAGTTCAGGGGGAGATCCCTGCCATCTGCTTATCGCCCAAGGATCTATGAAATGTAATACATGTCAAAGTACGGATAGTTTGCCCCCTATAGATACTGCTAAGGTTGAAAGGAGGGTATGAGCTGGTCAATGGATCACGTGACACCCCTCACGCTCAACACCTCCCATCCATCCCCAACCTGTCGTGACCATACTACTGGTCACCTATACCACACAAGAGACGTTTTGCTTCCACGTTGGCGTATCTTTCCAACTTGAACGATGTCTGATGATATCAAATAGAAATATTTCGGACTACTTAGACAGCACTCAGGCGTCTTTCAACACCTTGCGAGTATCCTGAATGTCGAAGCATTCTCCTAAAAGCAAATGCAAGAAACGCCGAACCAAATATCTTAAGGAGAGGGCATATCGCAACACACAAAATCCTCCGTAACCTTGAGCGAATAACAGCTCAGGCGATACCCCTTCTTCACTTACCCCTCCGTGGTCAACGACGACTCGTCTGTGACCTGGTCTTGGTTCCGGGCTTCTTTTTCCCTACTCTACCGTCTTTAGTACCTTGACTCCCAGCGATTGTCTCTGGTTTTTCGGTCTTCTTCGTTGGTCGAGGTCGTAGTTGACGAGGTTCTGGCTGGGGAAGAGGTTGACGTGCTGCAATGCGTGCACTGCGACGAAGCCCGCCTGGTGGAAGAGAAGAGACGTTTGTAGCCCGACACGAACGCTTGCCAATCGCCTTAATTGGTCTCGAACTTTGGGATTTCTCTTTCCCCTGCGTTGTGCCCTCTGCTGATTTGTTTGAGTTGCCATTCGTAGGTGAAAGCGATCCCTGTCCTGTCTTCTGTCTCTTCTGGCTGGGACCTGCGGGCGACTCTTCTTGAGGGCTGACCATTCTCTTCTTTCCCTTGTTCTGACTTGCACGAGACTTTTCCTCTTCAGCCTGCGCCATCTCGGCTTCAACCAACGGAAGCTGTTTCAGAACCCACTGAACATACAGACTGTGACAAGTCCACTTCATCTTCGCTCTGGCATAGTCATGCGTACCGCTAACAAAAGCGCTCACTCTGTCATTCCGAACCTTGACTCTTTTATGACGACGTTCAGCACGCTCGACATCCCGAGCCACCTTGTTCAGCATCTCTACCCGTTGCTTCTCGGAAATCAGAAAGCGTTCTGGGGATTCCTGGGTCAAGTTGAAGACCCGTTGGGCCTCTGCTTTCGCCATGCGGACCTCTGTGTGGGCTTGTTGAGCGTCATTATCTCGCCGGAGTGAGCCTCCCACGGAGCGTATGTCATCTATGGACTCGTGAGGTCCGACGATCTTGGCGTCGACGAGCTTTTTCCAGGCTTCGTCGTGTTTCGGGGCCAGGCGTTCCATGTCCTCAGCGTGTCCATCAAGACACCAATATTCGTAGCCGAGATACTCGGTCCATGTGGTGAGCTGGTCTTGCTGTTTGGGATCCTCCTTGAGCTGGAAGGGTCGAGTAATGTCATGACTGGCAAGACGACGCTTCACGGCTTCGAAATAGTCGGCCGGGCCGTTGCAATCGCGCTCTCGACACCGTAGCCGCTGGCGGTTGCGTGCCTTCATTTCATACCTCCATTGCGACTCGAGATGTAATGGATTCCTCTTCATCTCGGCCTCGAACCTCATTTGCGCCCAGTCGAGATTGCTTTGCTCCTCCCAGAACGACGTCTCTTTGACAAAAGCTTCGTAGGTATCATTCTCGTCCTCGAGACCTCGGTTGTCTTTTTGCCACTTGCGAAAGTCCTTCCACCTCGCGTTCTGCTCTAAAAATATGTTGAAAGGTTGGTTGTTCCCAGGGTAGTTTTGCAGGGGCTGTATTAGCTCGCGATACTCTTCAGGCTTCTCGAGCACCTCGTCAATCAGTTCGATGGGATACAGCGGGCGGCCACCATCATCTAACAGCTGTCTGTAGTAGATTGTTTCGACTTCCTTGCTATGGGCTCGGTGATTCGCTCCTGGGGATGCATGTCTCGAGAACCCTGCGACCTGTGATTCATCTTGCACTTCGGTGGGAGGGTTATCTGGTGGGGCTTGACGCAGACGGGCATCTAGAGCATCTAGATCAAGTGGTCGTGAGCTAGGCTCATTATCTAGAGAGAGGACTCGCTCTTTGGCCCTGTCAATGAACAGGAGTTAGTATTTGTCAGGCTGGCTGTCGTGTTTGAGGAAGACTCACTTCAATCGGCTGGCAAGACGTTCTCGCTCGTCCTTTGATAGTTTGTCCCAGCCATCAACCGGAAGACTGTAGTCGCCATTGGCGTCACGGTGCTCCTTCATGAACTGACAGAGCTGCTCATCACTCATGGCGATGAGCTCGCTGACAGGGAGCGTGACAGGCGTCGGTTCTCGGGGACTTAGTGAAGTCATGTTGTTTCTTGACCACGAACAGAAAGAGAAGAGGTGTGATGCGTAGGAGGCTAGGAACATATGTGACTAGCCTTCAATAAATGTTGACAGGTGCAAGTTGATGTTTGGCGGCTGTAGCAGAAGCCCCTCATCAGGTGAACGGCTGCAGTTACACATCGGCGGAAGCAGAGTTGAAGAGGGTTTCACATCGCTATTTGTATCTCCCGAGATGGTTCATTAGTAGTCACGTACGGTCGTACTTCTCTGAGTCAGGTACCATGCGGAGGCGCAAGTTGATCGCAACCATGTATCACCAACGACGACCTGCCTCTGAATAATGGAGTTGATGGCCAAAGCATGCGGACAGAAACCACATCAACCTTCATAAACTTACATCACGAGAGGTTCTAACGATTCTCATCAAGCAATAGACAATGACAATAGTATCTGATAGACTGGCAATGGACGTGTATATATACCCATAAGAAGCATGCATCATGGCTTCTCTTCTCCAATTTACCTCGCTATCCTCACAACCGTCAATACCATACCAAACCACTCATAAATACAAACCTTTCAAAATGAACGACTCGGATATCATTGCGTGCGTGTATCCACACAGCACTTATTCCAACATCGCCTCCCAAGCCATCGCCGCTAGCTGGCTATGCCCCAATCCTCCCCAAGACTTGGACGAAATACCATATAACAGGAGCGAGCGAGAAAGAACCGGGTCACCAGACGACACGATTGAGTCTCTGCCATGTGCTGAAATCAGGTTCAGCAATATACCAAGGACAGGTCGGGGAATCATCATCGGATCCCATCCGGACTGCGATATTGTTGTGTTGAAAAGGGGCATCAGCTCGCGCCATATCAGCATCACATTTGACGAACAGAAACGCCTCATTGTCAAGGACTGGGGATCTTTGATTGGAACTCAGGTCACTTACGATGGCCAAGGGGCAGGGAAACGAAGCAAGTTCCAATGGATCATTGGTGGTCCTGAAATTCCCAGGAACACGGACGACCTCATCCTTGAGATCCGAAATGATATATCCTTTCGAATCGTTATTTCCCAACACGAAATTTATTGTCCCGAATATATAGAAAAGGTCGATCGATTCTGCCACGGCACAGCATCACCCGAAGAACTCCTCGATGACCTCAACCTTATAAGTCGCCCAATGACCATGGCTCCCACCGGGGCCAACACACCAGGCCGGGACGATATATACCTCGGAAATAAACTTGGTGAGGGCAGCTTTGGCGTGGTAACTCACTTATGGAACGTGAGTACCGGGGAAGAGTATGCCCTAAAGAAGCCAAGTGAAAAGGCCATGAGGAAGGGAGATGTCAATATTGAGGCATGGAAGAGGGAAGCTCGCATAATGGGGCAGGCCTCGCACGCAAGTATAACGAATACCCTTCACCATCATATGGCATACTAATATCTTAATAGCCCCATATTGTCGAGTTAATTGTAGAGTCCTTTGTGCCCAAGCCGCGGCTCTTTCTCGAGTATATGCCGGGCGGTTCTCTAGACGACCACACCGATTTTACGATTAACGAAACCCTAACGATCCTCCGCCAGTGCCTATCAGCTCTAAAGTATCTCCACGACCAAGAACCCCCGATTGCTCACCGGGATATAAAGCCAGCCAACATTCTGGTCAAATTCCGGACCGAGAACTTCATCTTTGTGAAGCTCGGTGACTTTGGCGTATCGGGGGATAGCTCTGAGCTCATGACCGTGTGTGGGACTCAGAAGTATATGGCGCCGGAGATATACCAAGAGTGGCAGCAGAGAGCCGGCGGAAAGAGGAAGAGGGGGTATAATGAGACCGTCGACATCTGGTCTCTTGGTGTGGTGGCATACGAGTTGCTGGATGGCCTCCCGCGGTACGCCAGTGACCACAGGCGTTATGGGATGAAGTGGTGCGAAGCAATTGTCAAAAAGCTTCAAGAGGACGTGCCAATATATAAGGACAACCTGCGTCGCTTCCTCCTGGGATCGATATTGGTCATATCACCTACGTCGCGCCTATCAGCCAGGGACGCATACAGGGAGGCCATAAACTTGTCCAGCGAGGGTGACGAGACACCCTCCTCAGGTGGATCAAGTCCGGGGTCCTTATTCGACGCCGAGGAGGAAGACGAAGGGACCATCGTTCAAAGGGCGCCGGAGGACGACACGACGAGCTTGCTCAATCCTCTGACGATGGTCCCAGCCTCAACCATAACGACGATCTCGCCCCAGACCCAGGTGCCAGCGGATGGGGAAGAGCTGGCACACTTCCTAAATAATTACTCGTCCGACCCTTTAAACAGCCTCTTTGTCGGCTCGTCATTAGCCGAGCTGGGGGGAAAGGAGGACGAGACGGGCTTTGGGTCCTTGTTAGGGTCCTCCGCTGCGGGGTTGGGCGTCGAGGGTGAAACGACTGATGAGGCCCTGGTGAAGGATGACACAGGACAAGGGGATTTAGGGGAGGAAATAAGGTAGCGTTGTGATATTCAGAAATAAAAGTGTTTGTAAAATGCGAGGTGCCAACATCGACGAGCAGGGACTCTCGACCACCACGTGTTTGTCTACCAGGTCATTTGTGCGCGTTCATCAGCACTTCTACAGTATTTGTTCTTTGGCCTCTGAGCATCATTGTTGTAGGTGAGCGGCTTTTGCCAACACGAGGGTGACAAGGCCCTCATAATCATCTATCGTGACTCTTTACAAGCCAGCCAGAGCCCGCAGTCGATTAGGTAGGTAGAGGGATGTCGGTCCATGAAGCAGGCTCTCTAGTTCCACATATTCTCGACATGCCCTTGTCACTCCGTCTCTGGCTTCCGTCCATAGACGTACTTGTACTTGCAGTAAATATGCATCGTCTTGGTGTTGCGCATGATGCGGCGCATCTTGGCTAGAAAGACCTGGTATTCGTCCTGGGGCCATCCCAGGATGCTTGTCCAGAGAAAAAGGGTGTAGCCTGGCAAGAGTGTCAGCTGAATCCATCGGTGGGGATGGGGGGCATGTGCAGGTTCACCTTCCATGTCATTCTCAAGCGTCAGTTGCGTGAAGCGACCGATCTCGGCGAGCTTCTTATCAAGAGTCCATCCGCCAACAGGAGCCTAACAAGTCAGCGCCAAAACTCCAAGTTGCAAAGTCACATACCTTGAAAGGGAACGCCTTGATGTCCTCAAACCCTGCTGCTTTGATACCACTCTCCTGAAGACCGTCCTCAATCACGGTAAAACTATGACCGAGCTTCTTGCCACCCTCTTCAAAGACAGAATTCCACACCTTGATGGCGTCTTCGTCCGCAGCGGTGCCGTCGTCGCAGTAGTAACGAGGGTCAAATTCGCCAGATTCAACATAACCGCCGGGCTTGCAGACTCGGTAAGCTTCACGGAACAAGCCAGGCCAGTCTTTGAGGGCACCGTTGAGGAAACGGACGTGGACGTAGTCGAAAGAGTTGTCGGGCCATGTCCAAGGTTGAGTTGCATCATCGACCAAGAATTTGACGTTGGGTGGAACCCAGGTCGGCTATTGGGAGTCAGCGAGGAATTGTTCAGGCGGTGGAATTAACATTACCTGCATGGGCGATAAATCGATACCTGTTACCTCGGCGCTGGGGTGGGCATCACCAAAATCGCTGCCAGTGTTTGTCAGTGCATGGCCACGCTTGAGCCACAAAGTAGATATCCTCACATTGCCCATATTCCTACAACAAAGGTCAGCAATAAAACCACATGCAAACTCAGCCAACATACCATTTCCACATCCGACATCGAGCACTTTCTGAATGGTAAGGCCTATCAGCCACCATCCTTTGAGGTCAAACGCATGATCTCACCTGAACATTCTCCTTGAGTGGGGCAAGATGGAGCTTCCCATCAAGAAGAAGCGTGAGGTAGTGGTGCCTATCAAGGTTAGTCGCCAAGAAACGTCTCGTCAGACGTGCCAAACCTACACAATGTCTAGGGATTCATTCTGCTTCTCATCGTTGGGGGTAAAGTACTGCGTGTTGTGCTTCTCGCTGTGAAAGGTCCTGCCGTGAATGGTGCGGTACTCGAGAATGCTCGAGGATATCGAAGCTGTGGAGCTGGCATTGTCTCTGGGGAACTCGGTTAGCTAGGGAGGGAGGGGAAGTTGACGATCTTGGATCTGGTGGGCCACTTGCTCGTCAAGCAGAAACGCTGAGTCGTCTCGGTTATCGTCCTATGTGTCAAGATTTCGTTAGCTGCTAGATGGAGATGTCAGCTTTGTCTGGGCAATATAAAGTTGCAGATGTCAGTCTGTCAAACTCACCCCGGCATCCTTGTCAGGTCCTACTGCGTTTCTGCCTGCTTACCTCTGCGGGTGGGCTGTCTGCGGCGATGAGCGGTTGCGTAGTTGCCGTCTCGATTGGCGACTGTCGGCCGGAGGACGGCTTGGGAGATGACTTGTTTGACATGGCTGATTCTGAAATGATGTCTCAAGCGTGATAAAGCGTGATTTGCAGGATCAGGCTGAGGGGACGTTCAAGTCCGCGGAGGCCGGAACAAGGAAAGTCCCGTGACTTCCGTGACCCTTGATCGCGTTGCAATCGAGGGAAGGAGGGATAAGCAACTTTGAGCCTGAAACGGGTATTTTCATCAAGGTGTCATTTATTCACTTAAGACGAAGAGATGAATCGAGAGACAAGTTTCCATTTCTTCCGTGCCTTCCGTTCCCCTTGCATCTTCCTCTTTTGGAATGAACGTGAGGGTTGCCGGAGCATTTCGAAGTCATCTCCATTCCCGTTACGAAACCAATCAGCGCCAACCACTTGGTGGTGCGAGCCACTCGAGCCAAAAGCAAGACACACAATTAATAGTTAGGATTTCTGCCGATATAAAGTACCTTGAATATATCATCAGCCTCTCCGAGGGATTTATTCCCATTAGCCTGAATACCCCGGCCGACAAAGGACCACAGTTGGGGTGATGCCTGAGGCGTCCACTTCTTGGCAAGAACCGTGGGGTACATACCGGTACCTAGTGAAAAGTGAGACAGATTTTCGTCTTTGTTAATATTGCCACGGAGAGGGTATCTGTAACGTGGGGACACGCCTTCCCCCCCCCCCCCCCCCTCCTATATAATAAGTCCTATAGCCCCCCCCCCTTTTATATAAGAGCTATTATATTATATTACTTACCTTATTATAATATTTTTAATAAAAAGCTTTTATAAAAGATTTATTAATATAAATAAAATATAATAATTTTTATATATAAAAAAGTTAAAATAATATTTATTATTAAAATTAAAATTATACATATATATTTTAATAATTACTTAAATTTAATAAAAATAATTATAAGGTTAAATTAAATAATTAATTAATAAAATTTTTTACTTATTAATAAAATATTAAAATATAATAAGTTTATTAAAAAAAATAAAGCTTATATTTTTTATAATTAAAAAAAAATCATTTAAATTATAAAATAAAATAAAAAATAAATAAAATTTAATATAATTATATTTTTATTAATAATTAATTAATTAATTAAAGCTAATAATATTAAATAATATAAATAAGTAATAATAATAAATCTAAGTAATAATATAAACTTAGCTATATAAAAATAATATTATATATTAAAAAAATAAAAAAACTAATAATAATTTTTATTATATTTTTTAAGCTTTAATTATAATATAAAATTTATTATTAATATTTTAAAATATTATAACTTAATATTAATATAATTACTTTTTTTTAACCTTTTATTACTTATAATTAAAGAGTTATACCTAGCTATATTATTATAAAAAAGAAATCTAATAATAAGAATATATAAAATTAGGATTAAAAAGGTATTTTATCTTATAATAGGCTAAGTAATATATAATACTTTAATTAAAGTAGCCTTAAATAAAGTTAAGATATAGCTTTTAACTTATAAGAGTCTTTTATATTAAGTATAAAAGATATTTAATAATTATCTAAATAAATAATAGCGCTTAACTTAACAATAGGGCCTCTTCGTTCTTCAGACATTATTCAACCTTCAAAATCCTCAGCCAAGGTATGACCTAACATTAAGAATCAACTCAGAAACCGTCTCTATCGCCCTTGTGCGCCACATATCCGACTGCAACTGACAACCCTCGTCGGCAGTAAAGACCATGTTGACGGGCGACTCCTTGCTATAAATTGGCCATGCCGTGCCACATTCCGGAACTGCCAAGTTAGTATTTATTCACACAGCAAATGTCGAGATCAAATACCTTGGTGAAAGTTGGGCGAGTGTGTCACGGCAAAGCTGATCCACATACTACTCATAATCTCTGCCAGTTTAAGGTGTCTGTGCCTTCGATCTGGCTCTTTCGGAAAGGGGTCTTTGATCCATCCGTTGCCGTGTATGTTTCCAAAAACGCAGGGTATCTCCTGGAAATGGGGGGCTCCGAGTGTCTTGGCGTCAACGTTGGCCGGGACAGCGTCGAACAAGTAACTGTAGCTGGGTACGCCCCGTTCGGCCCATGCCTGGTTCGCAAAGCGTCGTCCGGCAGTGAACATCATGTCGCCCATCCAGAGTGTGGCCTTGCCATACAGGGCGCCTAGTCTAGGTCCCGGGTTGAGCTTGACAGTTCCGAGACCACCCGCAGAAGAGTTGTCGACTTCTTCCTGGTACAAGTGCGTCCATTCTTGAACCAATTCATCCCGGATAGGCCCTCCACCCCAGACAGACCTCATGAACGTTTGGAAATCTTGGTCGGTGTTGATTGGTGATGCTAAACTCTGCTGCGTGAAGGATGTTCCCTCATTGCGAGTCGTACCCGTCAATAGCGGAACTCGGACGAAGGGGCGGTCTTGAGAATCCATGCTGCTGTTCGGCAATAATTGTCCGTCGACGAAAAAGTAAGGTGGTAGGAGAGCGCTGGCTTCGTTCAATACCTCGGCTGGGACACCACGAAGACAATCCAGGGGAATCTTGGAGTCGGCACAACCAGTGATGTTGAGCACAAGTTCAAAATCAGCCTCTTGCTCAGTGTAGTTACGACCAACCGGGTCGGCCGAGAACGGGCCTCCGCTCTGTGTTATTACAACGCTGAACAGCCCGTCATCACGACCATCATAGGCGAGAAGGTGATAGCCGATGGACAGGGCACCAGCCGACTCGCCCATGACTGTAACTCGTGAGGGGTCGCCGCCAAAAGCGCCAATGTTTTCTTATATCCATGCAAGAGCCTGTCGCTGATCGTGTAAACCAAGATTCGTCACATTTGCCCGGCGGACAGCAGAGCCGGCCATCATGCCAAAGACCCCTAGCCGATAGTTGAAGCTGACAAACATGATGGGCATCCCCATATCTTTCGACCTTTTCAAGATAAAGGAGCCGTTATAGCGGTCGTCGTTGGGGCTTCCCTCCTGCCAGCCACCGCCATGGACCCAGACGAGGACGGGCAGCCGGTCCGTTACTCGAGTGCCAGCAGGGCGTATGAGATTGAGTTGTAGACAATCCTCACTCATACGCTGGGTCATGTTCTGGGAGAAGCCTTGTAGCCCAATAGAGTTGCCAAAGCACCAGGGACCATACGAATCGGCGACTCTGGTCCCTTTCCAGGCCTCGGGTGGCGTGGACATGCGCAAACGACCATCCCCTGTGGGACTTGCCGCGTATGGGACTCCCAGGAAGAAATCTTGGTGGTAGGAAGGATTGTATGAGCCGATCAGAGTCCCGTTGCTCAGCTGGAGTGACGGTGGCTTTGCATCATAGGTAGGAGTAGCTGTTACTCCGACGATACTTGGCCATGGTGCACCCAAGACCGCTGCCAATGCGTGATGTCGCATAGTGCCCAGGAATAGTGCTGGTTGGTGCAAGCTTGAATGTTGACTGTTTCATTATGGCAAGGTGTCTTGATCTTATATCTTTGTGGGATACCCTTGGCCGTGTTGGTATCAGAGTGCTTGGTCATGAGTCCGAACCCTTGGATGCCACGCTGGAGTAGGAAGAACTAATCCTGGTCAATAGACATTAACATGACGGAACACTGTGGATGACAGGGATTATCAGATTAAGCAGTTTCACCATCTGTTGATCCGGACAAACCCATATATAATTTGTACGGAGTACGTCCCAACACGGATGGTTTAGAGGACCGGAGTGCGAGCATGATTGGACCACTTTGCCAAAACAAGAAGATGGCATTATAAATGTGAAGAGTAGATATTCATAAGCAAGAGATCGCAAGGCAAGAATGATCTACTTCCATCGTACTGCCAAACTTCCGCTGACTCAGGCTGATCCTTGATTACCATTCTCAACTACATCGTATACCAACAGGTGGTGACTGGTGATAGAAACGAGAAGAGATCCAAGATTTTCGGCTTCAACATCACCATGAACGTCTATTTTGTAAGACACTTGACATTCCAATTACCATTATGCACTACTTATAAGAGCTCCCACTTCTACACAAGCTGACCGAAAGCGAAGTTCATCCCAAGCATCCCACCGGCTCGCCGCCTCGGGCAACACAGGCCCCTCCCGCTTCAACCCAGCCTTGCAGACCACCTCGTCGATGCCCGCGCCGTTGGAGAAGGAGATTAACCGGAGAAACGCACTTCCAGGGTCGACGGTGAACTCCTGCCTCTCCGGCACCATGATGGCCTGGCCCTGCCGCACAAAGGTCCACTCCGCATCGTCTTTGAACTTGATCTTCAGGACGCCTTGGATGAGGTAGAAGCAGTGGACTACCCTTGTGAAGCACCACCATCGGTTGACGAATGGTGTCGCTTTTAGGACGTAGGCGGTTTCCATTGCTGAGATTGAGAACCTTCCGTCTGACTGGGCTGTCGTGACGCAGGGCCGGGAAATGATGCCGCCGAGCATCCAGCTGGCGCTGTTAGTGACGCGGAGGAAGTACGGTTGTGTTATGGCCGGTAAGCTCGTCTCCATTTCTAACCCTCTGAGAATATCCGGTGGGAGATGGGTTTGTTGAAAGTGAATGTTATATGTGACGTTTCCGCTCTCCTCGTCAGATGCAGGGTAAAGTTCTCTATCGTGATCGTGGAGTAAAACACGACTAAGGCTGGCTATGTCATGAACGGTGGTGAGGATGATAAACTCGGACTGCGGCTCAAGAGGCTTGTAGCCATATACCGTTCCCTTGCTGCGGTGTCAGGACAGAGTCGGTGACGCATTCACTCCACTTACCGGAGGAACAAAGACAAAGTCGCCAAGGCCGAGTGTATGACCTCGATGATGATTCCAGAACTGGAAACTGCCTTTGCACACCACAAAGGCGTTGTATGCAGTCTGGTGATGGCGAAAGTGCACAGCGTCTGTCATCGTCGGTTCATGATGAAAAACAATGAGGCTGTCGTCATTTGCCTGTGCGGCTTTGACGACTGCCTTGGCGGAAATGTCGATCTGGCAGTCATCCTTGAGCCGGAATATCTGGATAGACATGGCTGTGTGCCATGGATGAGCTGCGATGAGTCTTGGGTATAGCAACAGAGGAGGATGCCCCGATAACGACGCCCTGCAGTGGTGGATGATCGTCGTGTTTATGGTGTTGATTCGGAGCACAGCCTGATTGGTCAAAGCAGCCCCATTATAGGGGCTGTGCTGCCCAATCACCAGTAGCGAGGTTGGCGATGCCCTCATTCACAAGCCGTCAACAGTTGACCGTCTTTTATGTTTCATTTGGCTGACTTGGGTTCCTTGTATGAGAGATGGAATTGTACTACGTACGCGCGCTTGCTGTGTGTTGAGGTAGATAGGTAATTACCTAGAGAAGTGTGACATGGTTTCTCCCATACAACCAGGGATTGAAGAAATAAATGGGGCAACAAGGGGATAAGCCAAGGTGCTTCGATGAACGTCTATATCGCGCTGTTGAGACTGACGGTTGCAATTGACATTTTACCCTTGGTCTATGCCTGCACATGGCTCGCAAATAGTGGCCAACTGTCAAGAGGTGGGTGTCCGAGGCTTGCATCATCCAGCTGGAGGTGGGTAGGCAGGTAGGGGAGGTTCAACAACATCATTCCTCACCTTGAGAGACCCAACAACTCGTGAGCAGTAGGAGAACTTTTGAAACTCGAGCGCAACCGCTAATACTGAGGCCGCGGGCTGAGATGAATGGGATTTTTGCAAGAATGGGGCGTAAAAGTCAAGAACCTCGGTGCGAGAGGGTTGGCCACTGGTACGAAAACGCTTCCCGTTTCTTCTGATCAAGTGCAAAGGCGGGCCTCCAAGTGAGGAACAGCGCCCATTCTCTATGCTTCAGAGGATCGTACCACTTAAAGTCTCTCCTCAGGATTATATATTTCACTCAATGACATTCTTGCTGAGTGTAAAGCTGCGTCAGTACTTTAGGAGATGTTGGTGATTGAACTGGCCGTCACGAGCAAGCATCAACATCTTATCCGACCTCAACAACTGCCCTCTCATCCTCATGTTCCAAAACGGCCCTCTCCCCAACTCGGAGGGACGGAAACGAGCCATTCAGCCGATGCCGGGATCACTCGTTTGAACTTGTTCTCGAAAACAACTCCATCGTAGTTAAGTTAGAGCAATGTCACTCTCGTCCATGCGCTTGACCCATGAATAACACCTTACTTGTCGACTGAGTTGATCATGGTGCCCGGATATGATTTGCCGTCTAACTTGACGCAATCGGTTCCATGGCACGTCGGGATAAGCTGAAGGGTTTATTGTACTGGCATCTCTTTTTTCCTCGAACCAGGTGACAAGTTGAACTCCGGATATGCGGATTTATCTCGCCAAAGCTTATATTCGGCCATGTCCAATCACATATGCTTTACTGACCGTAGTACCCACCTCAGTCTGGAACCAGTTCATGCATCCGTCTAAGTGCCGACCCTCGTCAGTGAAGGTGTATAATGCGTTGTCTGCATCTCGTTAAGACTGAGGATGACAATCAACACTTCACCCGAGGTCTATGCCTGCTAGATCTTGCTATGGCATATGGCTCACAAACAGTGGTCGAGCTCTCCCAGATGCTCGACAACAGTCTCCTTGATCGTGTCCGTCGGTTTTGGTTTCGGCATATAACAGACGACCATCATTTGATCGTTCCTGACAAAGAGAAAGCCCTCGTCTGGTTCTCACAAGACGACGAGTTTGATCAAGAATGCATGTGAGTCTGAGATCCCCTCTCCAGTCCGGTATGCTTTTGTTGACGGCCCAGCTCCACCTTCGGTCCTGTTCTCGACTTTCTAAGTTCAGAAACCAACAGGATAGGAGTTGATTATATCCTACACGCCACCAATCCCACATCGGCTTTGGACTGGATGAGCTTAATAATCCTCCTCGATCAGATCCCTCGCAACTGCTACCGAGGAGAAATGGCCGCTGTGGCGTATCGCTTCTTCGACCCCATAGTCTTGGGCCTCGCGTTCCAAGCAATTGCAACAGGCATCCCAGAACACCCCGAAGTACGATATCGGCATGCTTATCGCTTCTGGTTCTACCTCCCGCTTCAACATTGCGAAAATGCCAAGATTCTTCAGGGTGTCGTCAGGGAGCATGACCTCATGTTTGACGACAGTCGCCAGCTGATGGGCGTGAATGTTTGTGTAAGCTTACAGAGCCCTGAGGTATTGCACTGTCGGGATGTTTTGATCAAGAGACGCGAGAGTCTTGGGATTTGGGAAGCGACGCTTCGAGGAATTGTGAGGGATCATATGGCCACCCTGGAAGAGCATGGTAGATACCCTCATCGCGATCGGGCACTGGGGCGAAATGTAAATTGCAATAGCTAGAACCTTGGATACAGCCAGACGAAAATATGGCTTCACAATGCTCAAACATCTATCTGACATTCCACACAAAGAGCAGTGCATGTCTTGTTGAGCCAGGCCCAAGATGTATGTGGATTTACGCCAGAGTCTTCTCGTTGGCAATCTCCTTTATAAGCGCAATCACCTCCTTGTCGCTCATTTCCTCAACGCCCAACAGCTCATTATCCGTCTTTTCCAGCTTCTCCACGTAACCCGGAGTGGAAATAGAGTACCTAACAATGTCACCCATGACCTGCCAGTTTGCCTGACCAGCCTGCAGCTGAGCCATGGCTTTTTCAAACACCTGATTCATATCCAAATCCTCCTCCTCCCAGCCTTGGTCGCCCAGAGCCCGCTTGGCAAGAGTGGCGAGCTCCCTTTGTGTCATTTGTCTGTTGCAGATGTAGCAGATCCGATTCTTGGTCTCTTGGGGCTTGGAGAGAACATTTACGACAGCTGTAGCCACTGAAGCGATAGTGGTATTCGGCACGACAGTGTTGCCGCCGTTCAGGTAGCTAATTCTTTTCTTCTCAAGGTCGATGGCGAGAAATTTCGTGCGAAGACCCCAATCAAGAAAGGAGTTGTTGGAGATGGCCGTCCAGGTAATCTTCCCATCGTTGGCAAGCTTCTGAATATGCTCCAGCGCATTAGCCTTGCCCTGGAAGACGGCCAGGCTTCGCGCTTTGGTGTTGGCCGGGTCCACGCCGAACTCGGATGGGATGATTCTATAAACTCCAGCAGAGACTGTGGCATCCATCAATCGGGTGGCCAAAGAAGGGTCGGACGCCCAGGTGGCATCGATGAGGGCATCTTGACCCTTGAGGGCCACGGTTAGGGCAGAAACCGATTCGAAGTCGACTACCTGTACGACAACCCCCGAGGGCACGTCACTCAAGGTCCTTCGAGAAAGAACAGTCACATTGAAGCGACCAGTTCTGACCAGAGCTTGCAGGATGACCGAGCCCAAGCTGCCAGATGCCTGAGATGCGTAGGTTAGCTCATGTTGGAACCCATGATAGCAAGTCTGTTACCCACCCCGGCAAGAGCAACATTCTTGATTTGACGAGACATTATACAATGGGATGAATCAGTATCAATGATTGGGGATGGCTTTGGCGAGTATGGAGGTATGGTATTGGAAGATAATCTAAAAAACACTCTGGCATATTGACGACTATCTGACGTCTTTTAAGCCAAAGTGATGTTGTCTGTCCACGTTATCACGGAGGTGGCTTCCAGGTATTATTAATCCCAGTCAAAAGCAACAAGACCGGATTCAATACGGTACCGAGAAACACATGTTTGGGTGCCATCTCGAGAGTGTAGACGCCGGCTTACACGAGCACACGGCAGTCCTGACGTCTTGCGTGCCGCAGCCCAAATCCTTGGAGCACAGCTCGTCCAATTCAGTAAGAACGATGAGTACATTTGTCATGCAAATTTAGCGAGACCCTCGCCGTCGACAGGATCGAAAGTGTGGTTTTTCTCTATTTAGGAAACTAACGTTAACTTGGTCACTGTCGCCAAGGCATACGAAGCTGACCAGCTGTGTCGCTGACGGTCAACTTTAGTCATCGATCGGCTATCCCTACGTCGCAATACCATACCGGGCATAAGTTGCAAGTGGGATACCGATGTTTCAATTCTCATCGATACTGTACTGTAGCATGTTTGCTTGATCCATAAAAAATGACTGGTGGGTTCTTCGAGGGGCCCCGATCATCAATGGTTTCATTGCCAAAAAAATGAAGAAAAAGAAAAAAAAAGTTGGAGCTGATTAATCCCCTCAATGAATTCATCCGTCGCCGAAATGCTGCTTGATTTGGGGTGTAGTCTACGTTGGCCAAAGTTCTGTGCTGCGACACCGAGTCGCCGATTGAAAATGAATGCAAACGAATGCACCTCGACTTGAGCAAGTTGAGCAAGTTTCCTCCACACGGCTCGAGCTGTGGGTCTGCCACGCGACTCGGTGCCATCGAGTACTCCCAGTCAGAATCAAAACTTCACAAAAATGCACGAGACAGTTTTTTTTATGTTATATTATAATAACATCATTCTCTAGAAAGAATACAATGCAAGGGTGGTGATTGATGCTGGAACATCTCGTTACACTTGACGTTCTGTAAAAAAACCGTCTCCCTGTGTCAATCGATATCGAACCACCCTTGATCCGTGACCCACTCATCTCATTCCAAGCCGACCGTCTTTTCCTATCTCACATCCGGTCCCAAAACCATCCCAGAAATCCCCTTCCAAAGAAATCGTCATGAGGGGCATGTTCGAGGCCATAACCCAAGCCAGGTGTTCTCCAATCAGCAGCAACCAGTGTGCAAGATTGGGCCAATCAAATAGGAAAAAAACATAGGAAAACCATTATGGATCCTTGCCAAATCGAAACAAAAAACGCCACCCAAAAACACTCAAGGAAAACCTGCCATTTTCCCGCTGTTGTATGTTTTTTGTCATTTTGCAGTTTTTTGCCAACTCTCTCTCTCTCCTTTTTTGGTTGAAACTCTCCCTTCTGACCCCTAGAGGAGACTCGTAGCGGGTTCCATGCTGCGATGTCTATCCACAGGGTAACGCCTGACATAAGTCCTCAACTGATTCTCTGGAACGACACATCCAGACGACTGGAGGTACAGCAGCATGGGCCCCTGAAGAGGAAGAAACTGAATCGTCTCATAGAACGGCTCCAGCAAGCTTCTGATGAGGTTCCGATCCACAGCAACCTTCCACCACCTCATCTGGTACTTCGTCTCCATCTCGCTCAAGCTCGGCGCGTCGGGGTTTTGCTGCAGAAAGTACTTGACAAAGTTGACCATGCCCATGGCAACAGCAAAGTAGAGCATCTCGAGGCACTCCGACTCGTCTCTCTCGGCGCTGCAGCAAAAGGCATAGTGCCAGTTCATGCCGCGCTGGCGACGCGTCTCGGCCACGAGCTCGTGGATCTTGCGCATCATGCTGTCGGCAAACCTGGGCTCGAAATTGTCCGCTCGCTCGATGTTGTGCATGCAGTTTGCCAGGTCGACATCTGCTCTCAAGTATGGGGTTCCGAGTTCCCGAGCCAGTCGGCATTGCTGCCAGGCCAAGGAGCCGAGAGCTGAGTCTTCGCTGAAAGGGTTGCCTGGAATGTCCAGCTGTGAAAGGGCCCACGAGTCAAGCCCGCCGAACCACTCATAGACAGTTCGATGAACAAACTCGATCGAAGAGTCAATCAAGATGTCGTCGTGAGGGTGCTCCTCTGGAGTTGCGCAGAGACACTTGTCATCGGCAACGTCATCCCCATCACTCCGGATAACCTCCAAGAGCCCACCGCAGCGGCTAGCAAGGCGGTTCTCAAGGGCCAAGCACTGTCTGTGACGAGCTTTGAGGGTTCTCTCGGACTTGCGGTCAAACTCGTCAGAGTCCATGTCCTCGTCGACAGAGGCCATGTCGCGGTTCCAGACTCGTCTTCGCTCAGCCTCGGCGCTTCGCGACTCCTTGCTTCTGAAGCAGATGCGGAGGAGCTTGGCCACCTGCTTACGGTGGCAGGGCTCTATCAGGTTGAGCACGTACGCGAACAAGTCCTCGAGCTCTTCTGGGATGGCCTCGATGCGCTGTTCAAGGTTGACGAAGCGTTCAAGTCCGTCGAACCCCTGAAGCAAAATCCTGGTCCCAAGGACAGCCCCCAAAAAGACACCGCATGCTTTTTCGGCAAGCTTCTCGATGAGGATCAGGGCCATGGTTTCGTCCACCTCCCGCAGGGCTCTCATGTACCGATGAGTATCAGCCTTGTCCTGCACATACTGCAGAACATCCCCTCCGACGAGTTCGTGAAGATGAAGCTTTGGCGAGGTGGCAAATAAATCAACAAAGACGGGACTGGGCCTGCTCGACGCCAAAATCTTGATCTTGGGGGATGTGCAGAGCATCTGGAGGAAGGCGACAGCTCTGGCTCCATCGCCGGAATACTCGTCCAAGCCATCGACGACGAAGATGAATTTCATGTTGAGAACGCCGGGCTCGGCCATCTTCTCAAAGGCGTCTTTCACTTCCGCCACAGACGGCAGAGGCAGAGGCTCGTGAGACTCCAAGGGACCTTCTTCGTAGGCGAATCGCCACATGGTGGGCACAAGAATGGGGGTGAGGTGGGGCATCGCTCTCAGGATGTGATACAGGACTGCTCTGGCCATGCCGTCTCGGGTTCGCTGCTGGACTATTCCCAACTTCCAGAAAAAGTAGGATCCCAGAGAGACAGGCTCGTCTCCACCCCAGGTACTCAGACGTCTCTTGGTCTCGGGATGGTTGAAGATGTACTTGAGAAGTGTCGACTTGCCCGCGCCAGCTTTCCCACACACCCAATAGATGCCGGACCCTGACTCAAGCCACTCGGTGAGACTGTCCCACTCGGTGTCAGGCTCGGGTGCCTTGAGAGCCCATTCGAAAGTACCAGGGTGAGGGTCCTGCAGGGTCATCTTCCTCTCATGGATCCCTTCAAACCGGAGATTGGCCCAGACTCTTCGTCGCGCCATGTCGACAATGAGCTTCTCGGCCGAGAGAGCAATCGTATCTCTGATTCCCTTGGCGGCGTCTCGAACCTTGCGCAAGTCATCAATGTTCTTGCACTCCTTGACGTCCTCTGCCGCCATCTGCGCCGCACACTCGAGACAGTTGGGGCTGCTGGCGAGTCTGTTGAGGGAATTGACAAGCTGCCTGATGTTCTCAGTGAAGTACTGGAAACCAGCCTTGCAGGTCATGACCCGGAGGATCCTGGTGGTCGAAGGCGTGCCGTCCGGAACATGCAGAGTTTGAAGGTTCTGACGGGTAAACTCGCTGTTGAACTTTTCCATTCGCGGCTTGCTGAGGATCCAGGAGCTTTGGAGATAGGTCGCATCAGGGAGCGAGTCCACTTGTTCATGAGCGATGATGGAGAAGTGATGCGCGAGCCCAGGGTTGTCCGTGAGCATGTTGTAGGTGGTGTGCAGCAGATGAATGATCTGGCTGTGGGTGTCAGGCTGGTCGAGGCACCTGTCGTGGACGTCGTTGAGGAGCTTGACCTTGTCGGCCCATTGAAGGAGCAGGGTTCTCTCAACGTCGAGCTTGGTCTGGAGATCGGGCCAATCCTTCGCCAGAGTGTTGATGCAGCACATATCTGAGAGTATGTCGAGGCAGGCCTTGAGGGCGCCTGCGACGCTGGCGTTGCCAGGACTAGGCGGGACGGCCACCGGGGTCATGTTGATGTCTGGGGGGGGTTCCGGAGTGGGGGGGGGTTGTGAACTAGGAATAGGTGGGTAAACAACCATAGTAGCTTGTGTAGTAGCTTGTGTAGTAGATTGGTTGTTTGATGGTTTAGAGTCTGATCAGAGAGGAGGAAAAGAGGCAGAATTTATCAGAAATCGGGAGCCCAACTCGAGAACTCGAGTTCTCTCTTCTCTTGTGCGGGGTTTCCCGTCCACCACCTATGTCTTATGCTACTGTAAGCCGCGTTACGACAGCGCATTTGCACTTTCAAACAAACAAAAAACGCCTTGCATGTTGCATCTCTGATGTGATAGGATTGTCGAGACGAGATGTGGCTAGCTGACCAGGGAAGGGGGGAAGCGGGCCGCGTCTTGGGTTTTCGGCTGTTGAGAAACGAGAACGAGAAAAGAAAGAATTGTTACTCAAACGGCAATTCAAGTTGTCGAATTAATTACTCTCTTTCAACTTTAAATTTTACAACAGTCTTCAACTTGCTACGGACCCCCTTTTGATAATACAACTAGCAATGCTTCTAGCTCTTCCAGTATCAGCTCGTAGGCCCAAGGTGGTGTAGTGCCACGTATCTCTGCCGAGCTATATTTTCTTCTTCCTCAGCAACTTTCTGAGACAGTCCGTGCGAACCGCTTCTCAGCCAACAACCTTGGCCCTGTTCCGTTCCGTTCAATCAAGAACCAGGGCCAGGCACACACACACACGATGCACTCATCTTGACGTGACCAGTGTCTCTCTTCTCTCTTGCCACACAATGAACCTTGACCTCCTTCGGAAGAGGGCCCTGCCACCACCTTTTGAGGTCCAGAACCCGCCCCAAGCCCCTATCCGAAACAAATTACTATTCAGAAATGCTGACACGCAGCTGTGGTGTCTTTACCGCTTCGAGTCCGACCAACCAAGAACCTCGAAAGGCTTGATATCACTTTAATCCCTGGCATTATGTAGGTATCTATCCGATATCCCTCTGCAGATGGTGTAACTTCCAAATCAGGCTCTGAGTGTTCAGGAACTGATAGCCGGGAGGGGAAACCTCTTTTCTCAGCCCGCACGGCAAGCCACATGACATGTCACCATTTGCTTCCCTGAAGTCGCTACGCACCTCGTCTCGACTACCGATTTCCAGGTACATAGTGTGTAGTTGATATCAGAGCCGCCTCCCCGCACGGGCCTCACAGGGGGCTGTGAGATCTCGATAGACGACTCCTTCATTGTCTTTATTCTTTTATTATAGTATTTCGATTGTTTGTTTCTTCTCCCGATCGGTATAGAAGATTAAGACTAGTCAAGGCCATGCTGCCAGCAAACCATGATGAGACGGCCATGGTCGCCGTGAATTCAGCTTGACCTGGGGACTCGGCCATATACCCCCTGCATGCAAATGTGCAATATACAGTACTCAGTTCAGAGATGTAGGGCGGGGTTTGTGTGACCAGGCATACATACCTGACGCGCGTTGGGATCAGTCTCAACAGTATGAATCGTGATTCTCGTACAAGTCCTCTCAGAGCCTCGTTCACTCCTTGATCATCACGGTACACAAACCCCCGAGACATGGTCTCGACCCGAGACTTCAACACCAGTAGCTCCACGTCAATGACCACCTCATGCATCAGAGTACAGCTTCTGAGTGAGTCAACATAAACGGCCGCCAGTTACGCAGCCTTGTGGGTTACACAGAGGTGAACACTCTCCACTGTGAGACGTCAACTCCACGAGACAGTACAACCACATTTTCTCGGCAAGGGGCCTAGACTCCACTGACTTCGGCAATGACAGGCATCGCGGGGCTTTGCTTGACGAGTGATAGGTCACATCAGAGGGAAATGATTGCTTCTTTATCATCCACGGGATAATCATGCGGGGGTGGGTCATTCAGTATCTGCCGATACACTCCATGTCTATGACGAACCGCTATGATCTGCAGTCGAGGCTTCGTACGAGACCCTTGTTGTCTCATCATTGTGGTGGCTATGGGAGCCTCGTTTCTAAACCCGGCAGCTGAGCAAGAGAGCTGAATGCCAGCCCAGATTACGCGGACACGCAGCCGTCCTTGCTGTCCTCAATAAAGATACCACCATAGATCAGTCCCTCGTCGAGATCACTCTCCTGGAAGCCAGAGTTGACAACATCATCCGTTCCAGTAGGCTTCTTCAGGATACCAATCTGGTACTGTCCCCGTCCAGAGTTATCGTTGGAGATGGGCTCCGTGACGGCTCGGAGGGGCTTGCGGCCCTCTGAGTACCAGGCTTGGATGGTGCTGCGACCGGTCAGCAAAAGAAACAACAATACAGTCTCAGGCTGAGACAATACTTACTTGTTGTCAAAGTCGAGAGTGATGGCAAAGTTCTGCCACACATCCTTGAGGATAGGGGTGGACCAGATCTGCTTATTGGTGCGGTCGAGAAGCTTCCATGTATCCTTGGGCAGGTCCTGACCGATGATGGTACCAGCCTCAAAGTTGAATTGGTTGCTCGAGTAGTCACCTGCCTCATGCCAGACATTCTTTGCTCAATCATCAGCTCTGTTTGTTTGCACTTTCTGCGCGAATTGTCTCACCAGGTACTCATGGCTGAGGTTGAGAGGCCGGCTCTCGTCCTGCAGAATGCTGAAATGAAGTGTCTTGACGCCTTCAGAAGCAGGGCTTTTCTCATTGTCATCCTTGGCGAATTGCAGGCCGGCACGTCGAAAGCCATGCTGCTGCATGAAAATGCTCTCATCGCTGATGGTCACTTTGAGGGGAACAGTGCGAGATACGGCGTCGAATCGAGATCGAGGGGTGTTCTTGGGAAGCAGGAGAATCTCGGACCAGGAGATGTTGTTCCCCTTGACATAGCCAGGGTTGAAGGGGTTCCAGCCACCGCCATTCTCAGTGTCAAAGTCGGTCAGGGAGGCATTGGCGGGGACGCGGCCGTCAAAGACAACGGCGCAAGAGTTGCTGGCCTTGGAGTAGGTGTGGAAGCGGTGGCCGAGAGGAGTGGCGGAGACAACAGAGGAAACAAGAGCGAAGAAGGCTGCGGCACGCATTTTGAACGATCGTGGGTGATATGTACAAACGAGAGTAATGAATGACAAGAAAACAAAACACTATCCAGTAGTGAACGAGCTGAAGAGTACTGATTGACGAGACACTCAAGAGACAGAAGACGTCTGATATATATCACCCTCAAGCTCATCTCATCTACCGGCTTCTTCGGTAGTTGCCAAGCTTCCGAAACATATTACCAGGCTTCGTCATCGTACCCGGCACCTAAATCACAAAATCCCTTACCAATCCTACCTTTTGCCCATGAAATTATCGCAACCATTGGAGGGAAAATAGCTACCTTTTGTACTGAACCTGTGGGCGGGACTGGTAATGTTGTATCTGAAACGGGCTTCTAGAAGCTAGAAAAGCTTAAAGCGTTGCGCTTGGCTCTAAATAGACGACAAGGTTTAATTAAGGAACCGCTCCGGGTCGTGACACGTTCCCGAGGTTCCGGACTTGGTAAGAGAAGAAACACGGGTCATTTCGTCATATTCTCGAAGAAAGCGAAGGTTTAATGATGGGAGAACCCCTAAAGCATCATTCGCAATCGCTCTCCTCCATCATCACATGACCGATTTACACGAGTATCCCTTGAAAGCCGCCGGGATAGCCCGTAATCTTACCCTCAAAAGGCCCGAGCCTCCAGCCCTACGGCGCCTCCCGTCCATCTTCGGGCCAATACCTCCGTCTGGGTCCCACAATCCCGGCCTCGACCGGCCCTCCCGTCCCGGAGTCCACCGGAGTAGTTCTCACGGGAATACCCGCCTACCCTCGACTGACAAGTTCGTAGTTTGCGCTATGACAAGACGCTATGCTACGCCTTCACGAGTCAAACGGGCATGGCATTTTCAGTTAAAGTTCAGTCAACCAAAAAGGAATTGTCCACCATGTGTCCAACCCAAACTTTCAGCCCGCCACAGCCGCCCAAGTTCTGTACACTATCTTCACACCCTCACGATGTTTTCTCTTTTTCCTACATTGCAGTAGTGTTTTCTCAAGCATCACAATCACTTTCCAAGATCCCCCTCAATACAACGGGAAACCTGACCGGGCTACCGGGCACCTCCCGGGAGATGATCCCCCACGACGCCTCGCCAGGTGAAAAAACGCGGGCACGAATCACCTTGGCTCACCGAAGACGCCCGCTCATGTCGGCATCTCCCATCCGCTGACCGGTGTGTGCGCCATCACTGCAGCAAGGGCGGGTTGAAATTACAAACTTGTGTGAAATGTAGTTTTGTGAAGAGAGAACAAAAAAAGCCTCACTAAAAATGTTGTATGCCGTTCGGCACGTTCTATCCGTGACGGTGCAGAAAATCCTACACACATGGATATACAATTTGCTTCCCTTCTTCTTGTTGTGTGTGTGATACTGCATGTTGTCTTGCCAGGTGACTACTACAAGGTCCAGCCATGTTATTTGTAGATTACATCAAACTGCACAGACTATCTATCAACGAAGCGTCAACCTCGCAGTTTAGTCAAGTGCTTGATTAAGCAACTATATGCTTAACGCTGCAGCATGATACATGGGAGGAGATGGGACGAGCTGCTCTTTGACACATGGTGGTGCTTGGCTTCACGCCCCGAGGCGTTGTATCTACCCAACTCTGCATTTGCATCTTCACTCCCTCCCCCCTTCAACAAACATGGATTGTACTGTACAGCTTCATTTTCAGGCTTGATGGCGTCACAGACAATAAACACCTCAGATAAACATAACCAGCGGTGAGTCATCTCGTCCCTCGTTTTGCTGCAGTTCCCTCCATTCCGACTCGACCAGATCCCTCCGACGTCGCCCACCATCGCCCGTCAACACCATCACCATGATATATTCCGACAGCTCCCTGTGGGGAGACACGGCCTGTCGCGTGGGATGCTTTCTACCCTTGTATCACCTTGATTCCACCTCTACGAATAAACATCCCAGCCCACTGTATCGGCGCAACTGACACGCCACAACGCGGGATATACTTCTCCTCGGCGGGCCAAAGCACCTGACAGGTCGACAGGCATCACCGCCGGCGCCGAAGAAGTGTCACAGAGGGTCCGAGAAAGCCCCTTTACAATGGATACCGGTTTATACACACATTCATGTTTGGATGGATCAAGAATGCAACTGTCTATTCTGCATATTCGCAAGACAATAACTGACTGTAATGCCCAAGTGTCCCAATACTTGTAACTAGGTCGTAGTATAAGCATAAGCAATCTTGAAAGGGCGCTTCTTTGCATCCAAAAAAGAAAAAAACGTAGCAGAATAAACAAAGGATGAATTGATAACCCCCCAGGTCATCTCCATCCCAACTTTTCTTTCCATCTACCGGGAAAGTTGACCATGGTATATAATCAACCCTCGCCAGATTCCCAAAGAAAAGGCACAAGAGACTGATGTTTGGGGGTATTAAGCCTGCTTGCTTCCAATTCTGTCCTCCGTATCCGTTGGTCCATAGCATAGTACAACGTGGTGGGCAAAAAGAGAACGGTTTCAAGGCAGTTCCAAACTGCAACCGTATGTTATGTACAGTTCAGAGTACTAAGTAAAGAGAAACGACAGTGAAATCATCAACTCCGGACCATGCGGGCTGCCCTGCTCCCCAGTCCATGGTCCTCACCCCAACGCCCTTATAGATGCATGCAAATGACAAGCAGCGCAGTCAAAGAGTGCATGTCCTCATTCGAGGACAGCTTGTCGAAAGACAAAGGAAAGAAATGAAAGCCTCAGCATTGTGATATCATGCCCGATAGTCGTATTATAGTATCTGTGACTGAATCGGGTCCATCTCGTCAAGAAAAAAAATCTCGTTTCGTTGACATTCGTAAATTCGTCTAATAGCCAGCTTGGCCTGGCATCTTGCCCAGGGAGTGACCGCCAGACATCTTTGGGGGTAGGTGGTTGTGACAGAAGATCTTCTTGTTTCCGTTGGTCTTGTTGTCCTTCTTGGTGGCGTCGATAACCAGAGCTGGGTCATCATATGACTCCACCTGGCAGCACTCGACGTTCTTCATCCATCGGTTGTTGATGACCTCGTTGATGCCGATACGCTTGTGAGGGTCGGGGTTAAGCATCTGAAGCAACAGACGGCGAAGAGCAGGCGGGGTGACGCCAACGTCGAGGGCGTAGCACTTGGGGTAGTCGCTGTCGGAAATGCAAGCATCGCACTCGGGGTGCTTAGCGTACCACTTGTTCCAGCCATCGACGAGCTTGTCGTAGTGCAGGTTGCCCACCTCAGCACGGGACCAGATAGCACCGCCAAAGGTAAGGTAGATCATGATGATGGCTGAGCTCCACACATCCAGGGCGCGAGGGTCGTAGGCTTCCTTCTTGGCGAGCACCTCGGGGGCGATGTATGGCTCACTGCCGCAAATGCCGGGAGAGCAAAGACGAACCTCTCCCATATTACGGCCGCATTGTCCGCCAGCCTCCCGAAGACCAGGATGGGTACCCGAAAACACTTCTGAGACACCAAAGTCGGTAATCTTGAGCTTGCTGTCCTTGGTAATCAAAAGGTTCTCCAGCTTGATATCACGGTGAGCAATACCATTGGCATGAAGGTAAGCAACACCCTGAATCAGCTGCTTGAAGAGGCACAGGCGATCCTTCTTGCGCTCCTCACCCTTGAGGTGACCCTTCTGAACCAGGCTAAAGAGATCACCTTCGGAGCAGTACTCCATAACGTGGTTCCAACGGGAGTGGTCGGTGCAGAGGCGGAAGGACTCGATAATGTTGGGATGGTGCAGACTCTTGGCGATGCTGAACTCAGACTTGATCTTGTTCTTGTAGTCCTGTTCGCTCTCACGGCGAGACTTGCCGCGGAATTCCTTGACGGCATAGAGCTCTTCGGGGTAGCCCTTGCGCGCCATGAGCCTCACCTTGGAGGCAGCTCCCTTTCCGAGATGCTTGCCATGACGGCCCAGGAACTTGCGCTGGTACTCAAACTCACTTTGTAGTTCGGCAACATCGACAGCAAAATCATCGGGGAGGCTAAGACTCATGCGTCTAGCCTTGGCGCCAGTACCAGAGTCTGGGGGGAGCGGCCAGACGCTGCGTTGGGGAGGGTACATGGTCTCATCTTGCTCGGCGGGCGGCGGTAGAGGAGTGTTGGGACGGCTTCCGTCAAAGCTGCTAGCTCGACGGCTAAGCTGGGGGCGCTTGTCTCCATTCGCACTCTTTGCGCCTGAACCAACAAAGCCGATAGTTCGGCCACGGAGAGTCAGACCAGTTGAGGCCCGGTTCTTCTTGAAGTCGCTCTGGCTGGGTAGGTTGTTGGCCGAGGAGCGCTCGCGATGCGATGAGGCCATTTCGAGACCGGCATCACTTGGTGACGGGGGCGAGTTGGAGCGGGTTGTAGCTGAAGAGCGGTTCATGGAGAAGCGACGACGGTGGGTGGCTCGTGGGTTACCGTTGGTCTGAGGTTCTGCGGGTGCAGAAACAACGGAAGGAGTGGCAGAGTCCATGATGGCCGAGTTGTTGGCCACCTGGGAATTTGAGCGGCGGAAAAAGTTGGACATGGTGCGCTTGAAGCTCGAGGTCGAGCCGCGAGTCGACCGTTTGGAGAGCGGAGTTCCGGTGGAGGTGACTTCGTAGTCCGTATACTTGGGGGTTGTGGATTCGGTATGCGAGGGTCGGCGAGAAGACTGTGTCTGGGTCTGATAGAGCGCCTTGCTGTTGCTGTTGGCGCCCGGAATGGGAATAGGAACGGCGCCTGATGTGACTGAGCTAGCCTGGTAGGACTGGTAGCTCTGAAGGTCTGTGAGGTCTTGGTTCTCAAGCGTAAAGTCCTGAGACTGGCGACCACTGATGGGAGTGACTGGTTCAATAGCGGATTCGCTGCCAGACTCTCCACCTTCCTCAAGAACAATTGACTCGGTCAGGTCGGTGAGATATTGACGCGGCGATGAGGCAGAAGGGAAGCTGATGGCCGAATTTGGGCTCAGAGGAGCAGAAGCGGCAATTTTATCTGTGGTGACCACGAACAAAAGACGTCAGCACGCAGGGATTGATTAAACTTGGGACAGTTGAACAGGGTGAAAGGTCAAAGATGACAAGGAACAAGGGACACAAGGACAAAGCATGAGGCAGA